CTCCAGCATGCAGAGGAACCTGACGTAGGAATGGTAGATGAGAAAACTGACACTGTGAATTGTGTAAATCTCTTTCTCATAAAGCTTTTTTTTTTACAAATACCACACCAAATATCTAACTACACATTCACAAATCATTTTAGGTGTTGTTCCAGCAGTGATTAATAATGTGGCCACAGTTTAGCTGCTGGTGTACTCTTGTTTACTTTGATGTTTTGGTACATCAGCAAGTACCCCTCCTTTCAAACTACAGGACATACCAGGTAGTAGCATACCACTTGGGATTCCTGTATAGTATTTATAAAATTATATTTCTAATTTCAAAACCTAAAAAAAAAAAAATAAATTCCCCCTCCTAACAGACCATATGGAAAGTTGTATTTTAGACTGTATGTCTGTGCTTTGGGGTGAAACTATTGTAGCATTACTGCAAGTTATTATCCAAAATCAAATCACTACAAACCAAAGAAAATCCAAGTAATGATATTTAAAAAAAAAAATGAACTAATTAGTACTTGATACCCCCTTCAACAATTATAACCTTCAAGCCATTGAAATAAAGATACCCTATTATTTACATTATGTGTTATATGTATGGCAGTGTCAAGCTAGCAGAGGTGCTGGAAAGTCTCACAGCTGTTAGGCCAGACTTCTTACTAAGCTGTACCTGGGACTCCTCAAGGCTATCCCTTCCTGTGCTTTTGGCTTCTGCAACCCACAAAAGTCAAGGTGGTACCTTAGCACACCACTCATTTACACAGTATTGATTTTCAGAGGTTCCAGTGATTGCAGTAACAAAAAATAAAATGATCAGTAACTTGCTCGTACTCAGTCACTCGGTCTTACTTCCATTTTAGTTTAGGAAAGGAAACAACTAAATAATTATAATCCTACAGATGTGTGACATTTTTAAAAAACCTATATACATTTGAAAAAAAAAATCCAGAATTATTTACAAAGCTTTTACCTTTTCGAATATTATTCAATATTTGCCTTTTTAAGGGTGTTTCTATTTGTAAGCCAACAGAAATGTGTATTTTTCTGTCACTGCTAGTTGTTTATAAAAAAAAACCAAACAACAGGTAAAATAAATTATAATGCATATCTTTATATTCATCGCAGTATTTTATAGTTTATCCTCATTACAGTGTGCTTCTTCCCTAGTCTGCTCTGTGTTTCAGACAGATCAGGATTCTGTTGCAGCATGAAGGTATTGGTTACTTCTGACTTTCATCACACAAGATAAGTTATGAAAACTGTGGCTGCATGTTGAATGCACTTCCCTGTGACTGCTCTACACCTTCTATTCTTTTAGAGGCAATGAAAAGGTGGAGGTAGAGTTATTTAATGACCAGCTAAAGCTTGAGTGGTGCATAAAGAAATCTTTGGGGCAATTATTTTATTGCAATTCAGTCTCTTCTAGGATCATATACTCAGTAAGGAATTCATTTATGACATATGACAACAATTACAAACATGCAATCTTTAAGGAGACAAAGATGTGGACATCAAATACCAAATTGCTTAAGTGCAGAAAACCATAATGCTCTTAGAAAAGCCTAGCACATTCATTAAGCATCATGCTAGGCTATATTTACTGGAAATATTTCAGCTAAGCATTCAGTGGGAATTATTTCTGGCATAATAAACTACCTATAAGTTATCATCTTCATATAAATAGCATTTAGGACACTTCAGACATAATTTGATAAATTAGACATAAGATTTTGATAAATAAGACATAAAGATTCTTCTTTAACCTAAGTTAGATTTCATCCTTCCTAAATGTTCAGGATGTGTAGGTGTGGAATGGATGAAGAGTCATATGTAACACACCAAATGGCTCTGGGATGAAAAAAAATCACAGAACAAGCATTTCAACGCCAGTCAAGATGGCAATACTGGGAGCACTGCTATAGTGCATAATCAAAGCAAAAACAGTTAACTGCCAGTATTATTTCAAATAGAATGCCAGTATATTTTTCTGTCAGTTTAACCTATATTACTGTCAAATGTCTCAATTCTAATTGAAAATAGATTAACAAACCATATGTAAGTAGCATATCCCCTTTTCTGTTTGCATATCCCATGACCATCTATGTATTTTTTACAAGAAAACTACATAGGTGTTTCTTAAGATTACAACTGAAATGCACCAAGTTCTTTTAACCCTATTGCTTAAAAAAGTCTATTCAAGATAGCTGTGAAGACCCAGTGTGTAAATCAGTTGTCTGAAGATGACATAGATGGCATTCATATCGATGTAATATGCACTGGTGAAGTGTTTCTGTTCTCTGTGAAGAGAATCATATTTCTTTTTGTGTCAATGCCAACTGAAGTTTTTTCAACTGCCTGCTTATATATTACACTCACCCTCCCCCTCAGTTGAGGTATTACTTCTCTCAGTGCCATGGCGCAGCAGGTCTGACTTAAGAACTGACACAGGTTCAAAGAAATGTTCTTTCTTGATACATTGTATCTAACCGGAATGACTTCCCTGGCAGGGCTCTGGCCCAAAAAGTGGTGTCAATGTAACCGAATGTCTGGGAATGAGGTGCCAGAGGCAAATGGGGTGGCTACTTAAACTGACATTGCTCTTTCAGTTTCACTATTCTTTACAGAACTTGCTCACCAAGGCAAAAAAACCCAAACCAGTTAAAAAGTAACTGCTACTGAACAATTAGATACTTCCTTGAACCTGCAGGACAGATCAACAGGTTGCACATTTCAGTTTAGAGAGAAGATGCCCCTGGGTCATTCTGATGGCAGCAAAGTGCCTGGATTTCAAACCTCTGTTCTGAGACATATTATTAAGTTGGTTCATTAAGTTGGTTCATATCAGGGACTGATACCAATTTAATTAGAACCCATTTTAGGTAAAGTGATGCACTTTTGTAACAGTTGTTTTGGCCTCAGCTAACAAATACAGAACCACAACTCTGCCACAGCCAGAATGCAACACTTCCTCTTCACTGCCCTCCTCTTCCAGCCCATCACCTTCAAGAAGCTGTATCAAGAGCTGAAGCTGGTCATTTGTCCTTATACCATGGCGGACTAAATCCCTTTGCAGTTCACTCACTCCTCTGACACACTTCATTAAGTTATCGAGAAACAAGGAGTAAACAGTAATGCATTCTTAGTTGAACATTTCAAAGCTGCTTATGATTTACTTCAAAACTAATAGAAAAGAACTACTTTGCCAAATCCACACTGTCAGAGTTCAATCAAAATTCTCAGCTTGTTTATAAAAATTCACTTCAGGGGTTTCCATTATTTACCACACTCATTCAAAATTTTGTCCTGTTTGTAATCAGGCTTATATCTTTAAAAACATTTGTGAGGTCCTACCATTATCAAAACCACTACTTTTGGCTTTTTGAGTATACTAAGCAAAGGTGGAATTTCTTTCAAAGGCTTCAGCAGTTATTCTCAGTAGTTTTAGACTTACCTGCTTATTTGATTATCTTATTGTTCTATCAAATATTTTCTAATTGACCAGAGGTTTTGTAGAAAAGCACTTCATTTGATGAATGGGCATATTGTACTTAATGGGCTAGCTGTCAAATCAGAAAGCTATTAATCACGGGAAGAGAAACTCCTATTTAAACCCCTGAACATACACATAAAGTATATGCAACAAACAAAAGGAGGGAAGCAGAACTGAAAACAGGAAGGGGGTGTTGTTCAATATTTCAACAAAGGAAATGTAGGATGATTACTGTAAACTTGTGTAAGTATTAGGGACATGAAAAATATTGTATTCTTTGCACTACATTGAGATTCTGATTGTGTTAAATAACTTCTGTGAGTCAAATTAACAAACTTAAATGCTTAAAGGCAAAAACCTTTTTCTTTTTTTTTTTTTTTTTAATACAGGAAATTAATAACCAGGTTCTCTTCATTCTATGACTAAGACCTGCACAGACATATCACCAATCCTGACACACACATCCTCCAATTCTTCAATCACAATGAGTCATGTGAAATTAACTTTGTTTTTTCATTCTTATTTAGCACACTATTGAATAGCTTCTCACAGAAAAAAAAAAAAAGTACAAATAGGTAAATATGTAACTTCAGAATCTAAGTAGAAAAACGTATAGACACACAATCTAAAATATACAGTTGTATAATTCCTTCTGACACTGCTTTGTGAGGTACTGAACAGCAGTAGGACATACGATGTTAAAAAACCTCTTGTAAGAGGGTCTAGGGCACAAGCATTTATGGCATTTAATATTAAAACTGAGAATACGGGCTTTACACTTCCTGGAACGAGAAACGCTCAAACATATAGTACAAACCAAACATGACTCAGGACATTTGAATGTATGCGGTGGCAGCAAGTGGGGAAATAACGCGTACAGCTCCCGCTGGTTATCCCCTGACAACTTCTGATTTATTTAGCAGAATGAACACAAAACACAGTGTCAATAGGCAGTATTCCGAATGACTGTTGCATGGGACGTGCTTTCAGTAACAAGAAGCTATAAATGAGCTGTGGGCACTGGTTTCGCGGACGGCTGTCCCACCGCCCGGCTGCTGGCCGCTCCCTCAGCCTTGCACCTCGCCAAGGAGACATCAGCAGCCTGCGCGGCGCCCCCTTTCCCGGGGGCAGTTCGGGGAAAGCGCCGGCCTCACCTCGGATGTGCCCTGCGGGGAGGCCGCCCGCCCTTATCGGGACGGAGAGCGGCTGGCACCGCGCCTCTGCTATCGCACACCTGGAGTGCGAGCCCCGTCTACAGGGTGGTGCCGCTGACGGCACACGGCCCGTCCGGAGCCGAGGCAGCCCGGCACCCGCGGCTGCTGGCCAGCTCCGCACAACCTACGTAAACTGCCCACCAACCTACGCCCCCCCACCCGACGCCTAGCTGGCCCGCCCTTCCCCCACACCAGACGGCTCGTCCCGCCCCCCAGCCAATGAGAGGCGCTGCCGACAGCCTCGCGGCGACTGTTGGCCAGCGCGCCAGCCGTTGGTCGCCCCGCAGCCAATCGCTGGGAGTCACCGCAGACGCCATTTCCTCAGCGCCCCCGCGGCGGCGCGGCTGCATCAGCGCTGACGTGAGACCGACGTGCGGCTCCGCCCGGCCCAATCCCCCCCACCCCTTGTGACGGGGGCACCACGTACAGGGCGGCGGGTGAGTGCGGGAGGGGGCGGGGACACGTGTGCGCGCAGCCCGACCCCCCGCGGGCCGGGAGCGGGGGAGCGCAGCGGGCAGCGGCGAGCTCCGGCAGTGCGGAGGGCAGCGCAGCGCAGTGCAGGGCAAGGGCGGGTAGGGGGGCGCTCTGCCGTGCGGCTGGGTTCAGCCCCTGCCGTCGGGAGCGCGCAGGACGGGGCGGAGGCGCGTCCCCGCCGCGGCCGGGAGCGCGCTGCACTTGGGAAGGGCCGCGCAGGGCCCGCCTGCCTCTCTCGCTTACCCGGCTCGGCTCGGCTCTGGCTGATGGCCCCGAGACGTGAGGAGCTCGGGAAGGGGACGTGCGGGGTCTCCTCCTCCGTTACAGCCCGGGAGCCGGCAAGCTGCGGCTCGGGCCCTTTCTCCGGGGCGAGGCTTGGGAGGGAGAGCGGTTCGGTTCCCCTGTCCGTAGTCCGGCGAGGTTAGGGGACGGGGCAGCGTGCCTTTCCGCTGCGGTCAGACAGCCGGTGCTCCGGCGGAGGGGAGAATGCTGTCCCGTGCGGGGTGAGCCATGGTGCCTGAGGGCGTTCTCTTAACTCAGTAGGCCTCATTACATCCTTGCCCGTAAGGTTTCCCAAGCTGGGGCAGGAAAACGGGTGGGAGATGGTCACAGTGGGCTTCGTGATACCTAGGTCCTGTTAAAGGTTTGAGGGTTCTGTCTAAATCCACCACTGTCATGTCAGCATCTTCCTTGGGGCGGAGTGGAGCTGTATGTTAAAAGATTCCACAGGTACTGGAGCTTAAATCATCCTTTTACTTATTCAGGAACTGGTTGGACTCTTCTAAACGAGGGCCATTCATCCTCTTCACAGCAGACTCAGCACTGCCTTGTTTCTATTATTGAGGTGGCAGATGCAAAGTGAGAGGTAGCATACTTGTACTTACAGTCATCGCAGACTTGGGTTTAAAATTTTTTTTTGAGAGTGAAGATAGTTTTGAAAGAAAAGGAGTGGGAAGAAAATGAGGAAGCATATTAGAGTTTAGGGCACACAAGATACTTCCTGTTTTGCTGATACTGAAAACTTAACAGAAAGATTACACTTTAAGAATTAGGTCTGTTGTGCTGTTGCTCATTTTAACCTGGCTGAATGCTGTGACCACCTTACCAACCAGTGTGCTTTGCAAAGCAATGTAGTAAAATATAACAGGCTTCATATTTGAAAACAACAATCTTCTGAAAGTAGTGCATTCTGAGTTTTCACACTGTTGTTTCATCAATAAATGCAAAATAGGTGTTTGTAAATTCGCATCCTTGCTCTCTAGTAACTTCCCTGTGAGTAAAAGCCTACAAAGAGATCTGGAACAGGGGTTGAAATGTATTCCATAGCCCCTTACAATTTTTTTGTAATAAGCTACCTTTGTAAACAGTCTCTCATGTATACAGTGTTGTTGAAATAAAGAAGTTGTCTTTAAAATGTCTCTGGGTATTTAATTAGATGGTTGCACATTTTTAATATTGCAAAATGTTATACCAGTTTGCTTATGTAGCCTAATTTCACCTGTAGGCATTACTTGTATTAAGATTCAGTGATATAAACCAAAGAGGAATATTGGGGTAAAGTTAAGGGATTTTTTTGTGTTCTCTTTTTATTGCACAAGAGCACACCTTGATAAGGATGCTATTCTTCAGCTTTCATCTATAGACAGAAGTATAAAAGGTTCACACCTTTAGCTATAAGTCCCTTTCCATTTTCTAGGTCACTTGGGCAACGTTTTCCTTTAGCTGATGCTGCCTGTCAGTTTTGTCCTGTCAGGACAATTTGTCAGGAGAAATGTTTCTTCAGCTGCTGCTATCAGCTGAAGAAGCTTTCAATGTGCACTATATATATCTCCGTAATCGGTGCTTACCTGCTACTGACCTACTGTACCTTCGTCTTGGTGACTGCAGTAAACATATGCTAATATGTATTGGAATGTTACTAGCTAGTTAACAGTTAAAACCTGCCTGATCCTGAAGGTTTGCTACTTTTTAGGAAGGAGCAGCTGTCTCCCTGCATTCTGAAATGCCGTTCCTTTGCCCCCTCTTTATGGGAGGGGAGAGACATAACTCATTAAATTAAAAATCCTGACCGATATTTAAAATTGCTGTGCAACCAAGGTACAAAATGTAAAAAATGACCTAATACCAAATGTAGGACTGAAGCTTGTATATAATTAATCATACAGTGAAGAAAAACATGTAATTTTAAATGGGACCTGAGAGCATATACTTTGTAACTGTTTGCTTGGTTTTCCTTTAAAACAGAACATAAAGTGTGATATACTACTAATACACTTTTATAAAATATTTTAAGTGATTGTCAAAATATATATATTTTTTTCTTTGAAACTTAAAAGCAATAGATGTTATAATTCTGTTGCAGTGTAGACTTTTTGAGTGCAATACATATAGAAACTGTTTATTTTGGTAATTTCTGAATCAGATTATTAACGGTTTCTTACCGCAGTCCATATTACTGGTGTTTTAGAAAAAAACCCAGCCATAATTACAATCTTGTTCTGTGTTTTTCTGTATGCTTATTAAAAACGGTTTGATATATTTAGTAAAATTATTTATGAGATAACCCAGAAAATGCAAAACCTGTACAGTTTAGGTTATAGTAATCTGAGTTTATGAGGGTGCGCTAGCATGGTGCTAACCTGGACTATGCAACTCAGGAGTTTCTCAGCATGCTTGGTCCTGAGCTGTGCACAGGCCCATGTGAAGTGACACGGCTGTGTGTGGCTGTACTGCTTCCAGGCCTGTGGGCTGAAATGACTTTGGCTGAGCTTCACCTCCAGGGGCAATAATCCCCTATATTATGTCTACCGAAGAGATGTGTTACATTTTGTCTGTAGTCATCTTTCTCACTGAAGTTGTGTAACAAGATAACTGTTTTAAAATTACTATGCTCTTTGTTATTTTTGTTTTGGTTTTATAGCCTATAGTTAGATCTTCATGTTTGGAAAACATTTTTAGTCGAGTCTCTGTTCACAAGTTTACTAGATTTACCACATTGTCAAAAAGATGTGTATTTTAGGCTGTCTAGAAAGAGTATTTTGCTATGTTCTAGGGCAACAGTTGCATTTTCTGTCAGTAAAAAGTGCTAATTAAAAACAGTATACAAATTTTCAAAATTTACTCCACTTTGCCTAAGATTTAAAACAGGGAATCATTTATGAGTGAGAAATTATAAAATTATAAATGGAAAATCTGTTTAAATTCTTGAGTTTTTCATGTATGTTGTAAGTCCTAATTACATTTGTCATTTCACTGGCATGTATAACCCTTGCTGTTGTTTTTCTAATTTAATATAGATAATCTAAAAAAATAGTCCTTTTTACTGTATTTTTTTAAAACACTAGGAATAACTTTTTATTTCTGCTGCACTGATGCTCTTTTCATAGTTATTTAATAACTCAGTAATTGGATCACAGCAGATGAAAAGACTTGGAGAGGAATATCTTGATAATCAATGTAGTAAAATTAATGTTATTTTTCTTTTTTTTATTACAATGTTCTGCAATCAGGAATAATGCTAAAATTTAGAAACGAAACCCTATTTTTATTTATTTATTTATTTTTAGAATATGAAAAATGGTGCTCTATGTAGAATTTCTGTGCAATGCACTCAATGGGAATAAAAGCACTTGTGGTGTTTTGTTTTGTTTTTCCCTAACAGTAGGTTATGTATGACAGATGGCTTTGGTTAAGAAATTACTTCAGGACCTGTCTAAAGTGAATTAATTCTGACTATAGTCTCGCCTTTAGGAAGAGAGATTTTGCAATTAATATTTTGCCAATACCTATGCATGATTTAATTTTCCTTGGTGTGTGAGATGTTGTGTAGCTTATGGAGGCATTTGTACATGAAACAGGTGGAGCTTTCATGTTTGAGACTCTGGATGGTCCTAGCTTACTAAGTAGGAACTTTTTTTTTTTTCCTACTTTATTATTGTTATGCATAAAACTGGAATGATAAACATCTTGTTTTGGAAAATTATGGTGGAAAACTTGGTGAAAACATTCTCCCCAGAGTTGTTCAACTTTGGTAAATTTCAGTAGATCTTTAATTAGATTGTATCTAAAGAAAAAGGTAATAAGAAACTAACAGGACAGGAATGTAAAAAGATTTTAGGTGTAAAATGTCTCCTGAATCTAATCTGAATTGATACTGGCATAGATTATGTAAATTCTTTTGGCAGAAACACTAATGTTAACCCATAAATTCTTGAATGTGTACAGCTTGGCTGCTGCTAGCAGCCAAGTCTGGTCTGCAGAATACCATTGGAGGAATATAAGCTTGAGCTATGCTTCTTGGCATCTTTTGACTGGATTCCTTTTGTTTTTTTCATGCCTTTATTCTATGCAAAAAGGGCAATATAAAAAGAATTATTTATTCTCCTCAAAAATTGTGGAATATTCTGTAAAATAGTGCAGCAAATGGAGCTGGGTTTACATTTAATTAATTTTAATGTAGTTAACTTTTAACATGTGCAACTTGGGGTCAGGCACGTGGGAGGCTTCCTTCCCCATCTCTTCCATTTCTTAGTGTAGGACCTGAGCAGAAACTGCAGGAACTGTCAGCCAGATAAAAGAGTTGAACTTTTGAGTTCAGATGGGCTTGCCATCCCTGACTTACAATAACCAACAGAGAGGAAACAAGATTTGCTGCCTCTTAAATCCCACAACTGTAGCATCTCCCTTTTGTGGCCTCAGTTTCTTGTTTAAGTAGGTAGGTGGGAGCATGCTGCAGGGTTCTCTGCTTGACCCTGTCCTGTCTCTGTTCTGTTTGTAAACTGACCTATTGCTGTGGCAATGTTTGTGACATCACCTGTTCAATGTTGCACCTTCAGTGCAGGCTTTGGTAGGAGAGAGAGAGGGAGCCGAAGAGAACCAAGCTCTTGTTTTAAAACTCACAACTTCCGGTATGACTAAGTATGTCAAGAAATACAGAAAAGCAACTGCCAGGTAATTGCATTTTTATATAGCAGATATATTTGGAAGCTTTCTCTGTGGCATTTAAACTCATAGTTTAAATTGAGGGTCAAGGAATTGCTTACTCCTGTATGCAATTTACCCTTCTTCTAAAGCTGTAGAGTGGGAAGAATCATGTGTCTTAAGCTCCAAGTAGTTACAGGCAATTCAATTCTAGATCCCAGCTGAGGTTTGGTATCTTGAAAGGTTTGAGAGGGCCATAGCAGCACATGGCTGCTGGACAGCTTGAGCCTTGGCCAGTGGAAGATGTGAAGCACAAGGATCCTGCTGTGAGCAGTGCTGTTGGGGCTTCTCTGGAGCACTCACTGCAGAGGAGCCTAGGCCTCTGTGCTTGTCCCTCTCCTGAGAGCCATTTCCAGTACTGCCTCTCCTTGTGGCTTTCCAAAGTTCTTGTTTTAGGGCTCCTGGCTATATGAATGAATATTTTAATATGGGGGAACCTCATATTAAAGGAAGGACTTCAGTTAATCTGGAAGGACCTTGGTTAGTCTGGAGTTTCTAAAGGAATCTTTTATTTTCTGTTAAGTTGTTAGTTGTCTCCTCCAAATATAAAATGGTCTGGAATTGCATTTTTCTCCCTATGTGTCTGATATACCTCCCTGTACTGCATTATTTAGATGTGCATGTGCTTACTTTTAGACAGATGACCATGGAAATGGTTGAATCACAACAGGATGACAGTGCAGGGGATTGTATGCCAGAGAGAGATGCTGTTCGTCTTCAGAATCAGCCAGGCCGAAGTCATATTTCTCAAGGGTCTGAGGTAAGCTGAAATATGGAATGATGAGAAGAATCAATAAAGAGGTAGGTATTCAGAATAGCTATGATTTTTGAGTGATTCATTTATATGGAGTTCTCTTGTTCTGTAAGTCTTGTTATTAAATAGGAAAAAATAGGAAAGGTATGTGGAAAACTGCGCATGTGGTATTTAACTAAGAGCTAGTATAACACCAGGTCTGTTATAAAGTAGCACTTTTAGGAGACCAGGATTTTCAGACTGAATGGTAGGCACTTTTTTTTTTCTTTTTCACTTTTCCAAGATGATTGTGTTTGTTATGGAGATGAGGATAGGGTCTTAAAGAGTTAAGGTGCTTTCAAGATCGAACATAGTTAAAACATCTGTATCTTGAAGAAGTGTTGTATAACAAAAATTAAAATATGAATTAAAAATAACCATGGTTCTTCCCTAGTTCTAATTTTTGTACAGAATGTGTTTAATTCTTTCGGAAGTACATTTTTAATGTATGCTTATTTTGTTTTATCCCTGTGCATCCAATTACAGTGTCTGAAGTACTAAAAATATACATATTCTGTATGGTAGTCATACCTGGATTATTCTTTGCTAGTTAATGGATGAAAGATGACATAGTAATAAACCCTCAAACATTAAAAATGTGTACTGAAAGGTTCAGTGCTTAAGAGAGGTAGCATACTTGCCAGTGCTAAGATTTATAACTTCAGGAAGCCGTATAGACCCCTTAGAAGGATCTTCAAAAACACTTTATGAAAGAAAGGAACTGATTTAAAAGACATCTTGTAGAATTTCTTCATCACTGGAAGTTAGAAGTTACTTGGTAAGTTTTGATGCATGTATTGGTATGTTAGATAATTGATCTGCATTTTCAGGCTGAATGCAGCTGCTTTTTATGGGCTCTTTCAGACACAAAGTAGACTGCAAAATATTTATGAATGCTTATTTGTTAGCTTTGTAACCTATGGCATTTGTTGTGGTTTCGATATGTGCAGCATTAGGAATACTGCAGGGTTTTTGGAGGGAGGGTAGGAGGGGTTGTTTGTTTGTTTTCCTGTAAGAATGGAATATGAAACCAATAAGTTTATTTGGTTTGCTCTGTAGATGTAATCCCCATATTTCTTCTTTGATAGTTCAGTTCAGATTTTGTGCCCTAACTTCACAGTGTGATTTACATGTAAAATCTATTGGCATGTGCAATAGTCTCTGAAGAAAATACCTGTCAATTCTGTCACTTGGGATTTTTCATGATGATCTAGAGACAAAGCTGCCACTAATAATGTTGGAAGGCTTCTGATGGGTTCCCAGGGAGTACATTTTTTTGTGTTTATCTGCATTTAATGCTTGAGTACGTGTGAAGCTTCAGCCACACTGCAATAGGCCTCAAATGTTTCAATTAGAACTAGTAACTGAAGTACCAATGGATCTCAGTCCATCAGCACTAAAATGAAACACGTGCACTTCAGTTTGAAGGCTCAGGATAACAGTTGAGAGTTTACATTTGGGAGTCCCTCTTTTTGGTCAAATGGCCCAGGGAGCCAGCACTGCTCTGCACTCGTAGCTGGAGGCGATTTCCCTTCCTTGGGATGGACAGTGCCAGAAAACTGGCGTTGATGCAGTTGTGCCAGTCTAACCAGCAGTGAAGCAGGGGGCCTCCAGGGGACAGCCCTGCCCCCTCAGCTGTCCAGCAGTGCTCCAGGCCTCACTGGCTGCCCCCTCACTGCTGTTCCCCAGGCCAGGGCCTGCAGGCCGCAGCTGGGAGTCCGGACCTCCCCTTAGAGCCTTGAGGCTGAACTGCCACAGCATTTCCTTCAGTAAAACAGGCAGAAAGCTTATTGCTGAAAGACTTTATTGTGACATTTCTTTGGTTTAAGATGAGGAGGACTTTCTTAGCTTATGTTCCTACCTGGCAAGCTCAGAAGGTGAGATGCTTTGTCATGGTGATGGTTGGAGGTAGACACTGTGAGGTAAACCCCTGCTCAAGGCAGGGGCCGCATGTGGGACATCTGTCTACTTTTGCTGGTGCAGGATAGGAAGATTAGGGTGTTTATGAGGAATTCTTGGCTGTGCTGCTGGTCCAGAGTCTGTGTATTTTGACTGTTACAGAAGGGTGCAGGTAGTTCTTTCTCCCTCTTCGACCTCTGGAGGAGTGCAGTTAAGAGAAAACAACAACTTAAAGTGACTGAAATGTCCCTTGGACTAACTTCCAAACATCTCCCCTACTAATTTACTGCAGATGTGCAGAAATGTGAGAAAAGAATGACTGGGTTAAAGGTCAAATCATGAAATAGTTTGGGTTGGAAGGGACCTTCAAAGCTATCTAGTCCAACTCCTGACAATGAGCAGAGACATCTTCAACTAGATCAGGTTGCCCAGAGCCACATCCAGCCTGCCCTTGAATGTCTCCAGGAATGGTGCATCCACCACTTCTCTGGGCAACCTGTGCCAGTGCTTCACCACCCTCATTGTAAAAAATTTTTTCCTCATATCCAGCCTGATTCTCACCTCTTTTAGTTTAAAGCCATTACCCCTCGTCCTGTCACAACAGGTCCTGTCTTTCTTTAGGCCCCTTTTAAGTACTGAAAGGCCGTAATAAGGTCTCCCCAGAGCCTTCTCTTCTCTAGGCTGAACAACGGCAACTCTCTCAGCCTTTCTTCATAGGAGAAGTGCTCCATCCATGATCACTGAAATTAACAGACATCTCTGGGGTTTTCTTTTTTGTTTATTTTGTGGTTTTTTTTTCAGCCAAATAGTGTTTCAACCTTGGTTTTGTCAAGTCAAAAGTGAAGCATTTTAATATGTTATCTTTAAGTACTGTATTTATAGTTTTCTGTGTATTGTAAGAATCTCAGAATAGTTGAGGATCTCTTGAAATCATCTGGTCCAATCCCCCTGCACAAGCAGGTTCAGCCAGCCAAGGCTGCCAAGGACTGTGCCAGAGAGTCTTTGTGCCAGACGGCCCTTGAAGTAATGATAAAGCATTGCTCATCACTGATGTCAGAAAGTATATCCAGTTGGGTTGTGAACATCTGCAAGGATGGAGTCTCTACAACCACTCTGGGTACCTGTGCCAGTGGTTGATTGTCCTCACAGTAAAAAGGGGTAGGAATTTTATGTTCAGATGGAATTTCATGTGTTTTATTTTCTTACTTTATTAGTAGAGAAAAGATGGTTTGGGGGTTTGTGGGGTTTTGTTGTTGTTTGTTTGCTTGTTTGTTTTATTTGTTTGTTGTTTTGTTTTGTTTTCTCCCTAGCTTGTGTAATAGATACTGCTAATGCATTTTTGGTGATGAAAGTAAAATTACCTCTGCAAAAGCAGAAATGAGTGAATTAGAAATATAAAAAATGAGACGCATCTTTCATCCACTGTGGCAAAATTGTCATTTTTCTATCTTGAAAAGGTTACTTTTTTTAAACAAAAATAAGTAATGTGAAATAATTTATAGCTGAGTTTCTTGCATCCCTCACTTTCAGCCAGTTAATGAATTGACACAGTATTGTTTTAAATATGTTTTCAATGTCACTTCAATAAGATCCAGCCTCCAAAAGAAGTGGGTAAGAAAATATTAATTCATAAAAATTTTGGTGATTGTCTTTAGAAGCTGTTGGACATGTACAGAAAACCTGTAGAGAAGCTTAATGCCTTTTTTCAGTGAAGAACAAAGGTGCGAGATTGAATATTTCTCCACCTGTTTTGAGATGGGCTCCATAAGTCCTCGCTCACATGCACAGATCTTACATGAATACATACAGGGCTGTTCTTAAGAGGAAGCTAACTCTATTTGGAATATTCTGATAATGCTGTGGTAGCCAAACTTGTATCTTGGAGCAGTTATATATCTGATTGGTATTCACAGAGAAATTAGATGTTCCTTTTGCAGCATTTCTAGAGGCCTTATTGCATTATGTGTTGTCCTGTGCTCAGCTACACTAAATCTAACTGTAAAAATGTAAGAGCAATGTACTTGGACCTTTTTCAGATTTGACAAAAGTACTTTCAGTTGTGATTTTTTTCTTTTCCTGTAATCCTACATCTTTGTTTGGTTCTTTGAATCACTTTTTGTGAACTTTGTCTTGTTGTCTGTCAGTAGAGTTGTCTTCTGCCTTGGTCTGAATTACCATCTTTTGACCTTTCCATGCTGGTCCTGGACTAGATATTGATAGAGATTTACAATATGAGAACTGCTGTCAGAGTTTTCCAGAGCCTGTAGTGCATAGCCATTCCAGGTTGGCACTGCTCAGGTTTAGCACCTAAGGGGTATTATCCTTGTGGCCTCTTGCCATCAAACCTTGTGTTAAATCTTGCTCCCAACAGATTGAGCCCTGCAGAAGTCTGACAGACTGTTTTAGGTATGGCTATAAAATCAGTCTGCCAAATGCAAGTCCATGATATTTAGCTAAGCTGATGTTAGAGGATTATAAACCTGCAGCCTTGTCACCATTTTATGATTACTTAAGGTATGTCACCAAATGACTGAAATCGGCCTAACCTTGTCTTCCTTAAAACCATGTGCTGCTTTTTTGACATTAGCTGTGGAATTGACCAAAACATCCCTATCTTCAGCTTTTACTTGTAGAAGCTACTCAGTGCCTGAGTACAGTGAATGCTTTGCTCTTTCATTAGGTGAATTCAGGATGGGTTTGCCTTGTCTTTTCCTTTCCCATAAGTACTTTTCTTTTCACTTCACTTCTGGAGTCCTTGTAGTGTTTAGATTCTACAGCAGGGACAGTACTTGGATGAAGCTCTGTACTGTGCACTTCATATCAGCAATGTTTAAGGCATGAGGGGTTGAGTGTGGATGTAACCTCTAGTACTATGTAGGGAGATGTTATCTGACCTTGGGCAATGAGAGTGCGTTTATCCACAGTATGACTGTTCAGATGGGCAGTGCATCTTGAAATCAGATAATGATGAGTAATGTCTTTATGAAGGTTATGAACCTCAGTATGAAGATAGTTCATGATCTTCTTTTGCCAACGGAATACATGGTTGATACTTGTTGAAACCATTAGACTTAACAGTTGCATACCTAAGAGGAAAGAATCCAAAAGGACATTACAAGATCTAAGTCTCTTTGCCATTGCTAGGGACATAACCCTTACACTCTTTAACCAGACGCTTAATGTGTTATGCTTCCCCTTCCCCTTTGTGTTCCTGAGTTGCTTCTGTGAATTGTTTTCAGTCTTTGTGCCAGGCAGCCCTTGAAGTAATGATGTTAAAGGTAGCATTGCTCATCACTGATGTCAGAAAGTAATTTTTTTGCCAAGTCTGTTTCAGTCAGCATTTATATAAGATAGCATCAAAAGGTACTGGTATTTTAGTTAACAGAAGAATATTCAATTTGAAAACAATGCAAAGGGAAATGTGCGTTTTTATAAATGTTAGAAATCATTAAAACAATTTTGATCCACAAGTTGGAAATATTTTATTTCAGTCTTAGTCATAGAAAACAAACCTAAAACAAAATAATTGCAGACATTTTAAAGAAAAATGTGTAGGTTATACATTATGCAACCTTTGGATATATGTGGAAACTCAGCAAAAAGCAATTAAATTGAACTGTTTAAAATGGATATAAATGTAAATGAACAAGCAAATTGGTTTTGGTTTGATCCAGTTTTAAAATGCTACTGTCTTCTCTTCCCTCACCTCTATCCCCCATTTAGTCTCTTGCCTGAATTATTGGGAACAAAATGATTTCATCTGTCATGTTGTAAACTTCAGTCTAAAAGAGTATGGTTTTCTCTTTTTCTTGCGTGTTTCTACTGAATAAGTGGCTTTAAATGAATGTAGTGGTTTTTAATCTTGAGTACTGGATTACTGCCTGATTGTAGGTGCCTGACCCATTGTGTACTGAAAAGAAACTCATAAACTGTTCGCCTTGTACTTCTTTGTGTTGTACTCAAAATGTTCTTTCTGATACACAGAGTATTGTATCAGATTTCAGCTCTTGCGAAGATAGTAGTAAGTGGAAAGGTTTGATGAAATTACCTTTGTAATGTTTTGAAAAGTTAGCATATTTTGTAAGCATTTAACCTGATCTGTCTGTCCTTGAAGCTTGGGTTTAGGATGATGTCAACTGTGACACAAAATAGATCATACTCTTCAGATTCTGGAGACTTTCTAGATCTCAATCTCAAATACCTATCTGATAATAATATTAGTATTTGGTTTTTAGATTGGGAAGAAGGTTCGTATGTCCTGTTTACATGTTGCCATTAAATCACAGAATCATAGAATAGTTAGGGTTGGAAAGGACCTTAAGATCATCTAGTTCCAACCCCCCTGCCATGGGCAGGGACACCTTACGCTAAATCATGTCACCCAAGGCCTCGTCCAACCTGATCTTGAACACTGCCAGGGATGGAGCATTCACAACCTCCCTGGGCAACCCATTCCAGTGCCTCACCACCCTAACAGGAAAGAATTTCCTTCTTATATCCAGTCTAAACTTCCCCTGTTCAAGTTTTAACCTGTTAACCCCTTGTCCTATCACTACAGTCTCTAATGAAGAGTCCCTCTCCAGCATCCCTATAGGCCCCCTTCAGATACTGGAAGGCTGCTATGAGGTCTCCACGCAGCCTTCTCTTCTCCAGGCTGAACAGGCCCAGCTTTCTCAGCCTGTCTTCATACGGGAGGTGCTCCAGTCCCCTGATCATCCTCGTGGCCCTTCTCTGGACTTGTTCCAACAGTTCCATGTCCTTTTTATGTTGAGGACACCAGAACTGCACACAATACTCCAGGTGAGGTCTCACAAGAGCAGAGTAGAGGGGCAGGATCACTTCCTTTGACCTGCTGGTCACGCTCCTTTTGATGCAGCCCAGGATACGGTTGGCTTTCTGGGCTGCAAGCACACATTGAAGACGGCTCATGTTCATTTTCTCATCGGCCAACACCCCCAAGTCCTTCTCCGCAGGGCTGCTCTGAATCTCTTCTCTGCCCAACCTGTAGCTGTGCCTGGGATTGCTCTGACCCAGGAGCCATTTAAATGTCATTTAAAGAATAATTGTTTCCATTTCAGGGAATGCCCTCAATTGTTCTATTTCCCTAAAAGTGGTTCAGTTTACCATGACAATTGAACAATCACATAGTAAATGTTGACAAGATCCTGTCTCTGTTTCCTATAAACATTGTTTCTTCAAGATAATTTGAGCCAACATCTGGTCTTTTTGATAGTAGTGCATCTTAATAGCAGTTGAAAACTTTCTCTAAAGAAAGGAATGTTTCCCAGACAAGGAATCATTCAGGAGTGAAAGCTTCTTTAATATTTGGTATTTAAAAATCCCTTCAGTGTGAACACAGAAAAACAGAAAACTTTCTTTAACTTTTATTCATTCATCATGTTTTTCTCTTCTTTGTCATCTATTCTTACCTTTACTTCTCATACCAGATACCTTTTGGGTCTGAGAACAAAGCTGGGAAGGGAATAATACCAGAATTTTAGATATGAGTCAGGGTCTATTCTTGTGCATGCAGAATATAGAAATAAGGCTTTTTCAATGCAGTTTGCTTTGAAAAACACAAGATCTGTTACTGTCATATGATTTATGTTTGTCATTCTCTTCTGAGTTTAGAGATGCTTCATCACCCAGAACTTGACATCGTAGTGTTTTCCCTTTGCTTCAGGATTTGTTTCTGTTAATAGACTTAACAGGAACAACATAAATATTGAACTATTTCTTAGCGTATAGGTGTATAACTATTTCTTAACCCATCCTCATCACTGATGGTTTAGAACCAAGGGCTGGGGAAAGCTGTGTGTGCTCTAATACATCATCAGAAAAAGGGATCAAATTATTACTGGATGGAAGAGTTTCTTCAGCTGTGCTAGGCTTAAAGAAGATTCAGCTGTTCTTTAATTTTTGTTGTCATATTGAAATATTGATACACTCCCACTCCAACACTGTTTTTCTTGATATCTAAATGTATATATAAAGAGTGTTTATTAAACTAAATCAATTTAGAAATCAGTGTATTGCTTTATTTAACAGAGTTGGTGTTTTTTTGCTGTCTTAATAGTTCTCTTGTCTCTTGAGGAAACATCTATCTGGAATGCCTACCTTCTTGCCTAGCAAAGCAAGCAAAACGAAAACAGTTCTGGCTTTTTTTTCTTTTCATTTTTTTTTAATTTATTTTTTCCTGATTAAGACATTCTGCCCTGTGTGTTGTTGCAGTGACATACTAGTTCAGCAAATATTGATATTATTGTATTTCTTCCTAACCTTCATGCTAGCAACAGCAGATTTAGTGTGTGATACCTTAGGGTTGTTTCTACTTAAAAAGAAAACATGAAGTCACAGGAAAAAAAGGAAAGAAGAAAGATTTTCAATTTGTTAGGGGACAGATTTAAGCTTTCCATACCATTTACAAAGACACCCACCAAACTTTTACTAATAAAACTAGTATCTTTCTATGTGTGATAACTACACACATCTAAGCTATTTTAAATATGGCATCAAAACAAGTTTGTTTAGTATCACTTCTAAAAGCATCTGCTGAAGTCTTAAGGCATGTTACTTAAACATGATGGTTGTAATTTTTGCAGGTTTCTGTAGCTGCATCAAGTGCTGGAAGAGGATCTCCAGCTCTAACTCTAGTGCATTTGCCTTCTGGTCAAACAGTTCATGGCCAGGCTGTCATTCAAGCCACACAGCCCTCAGTCATTCAGTCACCACACATGCAAGCTGTTCAGGTTAGCTCTTTTATTGTTACATTTTCATGAATATTTGGTAACTGATAACTCTTCCCCCCAACTCCATTTCCAGTTTCTCTTCATTCCTACCAGTGCTGTAAGATTTACTCATAAGGTGCAGGAAATGGGGAGTTAGGTGGCAAACTTCCAACCAGTAGCAGCTCTGCAAGCACTGTGTAGTGATTCCTTAATGCTTCCTGTTTACCTGGTAAGAAATTGTGTCTTGGAACCCTGAACATATGAAACAGCAAATTTGTATAGTAATGTGGCCTTACATTAGTGTACCTTGCAGTTTTTATGTCTGTTTTTTTTTCTTTTAATTCTATGACCATCACTTTTCTAATGAGACTGTGTACTCATAAATTTGCAAATATACACTATTTTTGGAGAGGATCTAGGTGTAATGGAAGTAAATGTGTTGTAGTGAAATGATTACTTGTTGGTTTTAGCAGGCCCTTTTAGACCATCTGGTATTGCTTTTTGTGGGTATGGATATGAAAAGACCAAAAATAAGGGCAGCCTCAACGTAAACATGTATTTGGCAAATCTTCACATATTTAAAGTTGCTGATGTTGAAAAACAAGGACCAGTGCAAAATGCTTAAGATATTCCTGAGCTTTTAAATAGGAAAAAGACCAGAGAAAATTGACTTGCAACGTTTTAAAAATGACTTGGCCTCCCATTGGCCTTTTTCTTGTAGCTAAGAATGCCTTTGTTCTAGTTTTCTTAAAATCTGATTGTGAAATGTCAACTGAATTGCTCTTTGCAGATAGAATTGGTATCTCTGATAAGAAAGGCTGTATACACCTGTTATGCGTGAGCTGTTTGACCTGTAGTCATTGAACATGTTAAGGAAATAACATGCATTGTTGGTCTTCTTGTGAAGCCACCTTCAATGTTTCAGACTTACTAGCTTTCAAGCGCAATGAATAAGAAGGCATACGTAAGTAGGATTTATTTTAGAGGTTAGAGAAAAAGAATAAAACCTTGGCAAAATACTGAATATTTTATTTGTAAGGAGTAGGTGTAGATGGGACTTGCAAGGTTTTGAATTTCTAGCTATTGAAAGAGGTGCAGTAGATGTCAAGAGACTTGTCAAGAGACAAGTCAAACTTGAACTCAAAGCAAAGTATTCAAAATAAGTATTTTTTAAAATGGAATTCTTTCTAACTGTAATTTACCAGAGCAAACTTCATTAGGTAAGCATATTGCAGTTATTCCAGGTTGCTGTCACTGCTTTTCTTCAAGTAAGTGTAGTCAGGATGCATATTGCTCCAAAGCTCAGAAGAAGGAATTTCTTTGGAATCTCTTGCCAGCTGCTGTGTTGTCTTAGGGGAGTGAAAGTTGTCTATTTGTTGTATTGAGTAAACTCTGGCTGTTTTCCCTTTCCCAAAGGAGTAGAGAGGAAAGCTATGCCCTGATTAATACTGACTAGTCAGTTCCAGGGTTTTGCTCTGGTGCCATTTGAGCATGGTAATAGCAAATAAGGTGACTCTAGAAGAAGGGCTTGAAGATGCTGTAAAAGACTCCATTACACAGGTTGTTTAGCCTTCTGTGATCCTCTTAAGTAATTTATCCTGCCACCTGGCATTTCCTTCAGATCATTTGGCTTTAACTTGATACTGTATCTTTGCCAGAAAGTAGGGAACTTGGGAAACAATATCAGTTTACTTTACAAGAAAAAAAAAAAAAGTATGCTGAAAGTTGATGTTAAGGGTTTGCTTGACTTCTCCCTCTAACACCTGCAGCTTTAAACTGGAAAATGTTCAACCTTTTTTCTTGTAATGCTGTTGGGTTTTGGATTAAGGGAAGGCTTATCTATATCATGTTCCTTACTATTTTGTTAATGTTGTTTTACTTGTTGGAATGTTTGAAGTTAAGATTATTATTTGACTTTTCTACTTGATCCTCTCTGTAGTGCGTCAGTTATTGGCAGACTAAGTTAAGTTTGTTCAAAAACCACAGCAGTTTAGTGAAGTTGAGGTCTGAATGATGTCCAGGAAAAAATGACATTGTTTTTCACTGGTCAGCATTGCGACCGTGGTTGCTTGCTATTAGAACATTAAGTTTATTTGTTTTGACGAAAATTAGAACTTTTGACATTTCTTCCACAAAATACCCTCTTCCACATTAAAATGCTTAAATTGCCTTTTGGTTTCCTTACCTTCTTCCCAAAGTATGACTGTTCCTGACTTTTTTGGCCATCTTCACAAACCAGGGGTGGGTATAGGTAACCCTTAGCGGGATGGGAAGGTTTAAAGGCACTAAGGGGCTTGTTGTCTTGCTGTTTGTCCTGAAGCAATTAGATACATATTTTTTTTATCTCCCTTCCATCTCCCCTTTCAGAATGAGAGCTCTGTTTTGGGAGAGGATGTCCAGGCTGTTGGCTATGTAATACTTAGTTTTGAAGTTTTGTGCCAGAGCCTTGAAGGTCAATCGACAAGCAGATCACTGTAGGGTACTGGGGGGAGATTACTTTCAGACGATCTCTTTGCTGGTCAGCATTGGTCCATCCTCCAGAAGGATGGATACAAAATTCCTGAAGCTCTTGTATCTCTGCCAGGCAGCTCTGAAGTCTGGTTTGGAGCTATACATCTGTAGACAGGCAGAAGTGCATACCTCTCATTATTTCTGGATGGTCTTTTATTAGGCAAGTTTAGAGTTTTAATGAAGCTTCCTACATACTACCCAGCAAAATGAGGCTACATTTAGTATTTTTACATAAAACTGGAATAGAATTAGTAATAGAATTAACCAGTGTGAAGAGAATTTCATTCTGCAATAACCGGTAGTTTTTTCAAGGTGTAGTTTTACAGATTTATTTCTAGCACCAAGCACCCAGGTCTGGCAGCCGCAATAATTCTGGAGTTCTTCCTTGACTTCCCTGTGCTGCCTACAGTGATTCCAGCTCAAACACTTGAGCCTTCTAGTCACTTAACTCATGTTTGTTCAGTGTTAGCTTAACATAGTGCTTATTCTGAAACTGCAGTCTGGTCTGTCTTTATGTGAAAAGGTCATTTTCCACACTAGCTTTTACTGTACTGTTTCAGTTTGGAAATCTTAAGTTCCAGCAGTTCTGAGTAGTAAAATCAAGAAAATAGGGTGTTTTCCTTGTACACTAATCACTTTCAGTTCTGTATAATAAGATAGTTGCTGGTAAAGAGTGTGATTCAGCTCCAGGCCTTAACATTGTCTCAGGTAATTTTAAGAGAAAAAGAACCTACGAAAATACTGCTAATAAAGGTCTAAGAAAAGGAGGCACTGAACTTTGTCAGAGGGTTCTGAAATTTGCAGAGTATTGCTAAGCAATGTATTTGTATTTATGAATATGTGTTGGTAAGTGTAATAAATGTGTAAATAAATGCATTTTCTAAATAGCTTTGGTGTGGTTGTGAAGAGGCTTTTGTATTGTATACTGTTCTTTAAGGTGTATCAGTGCAATATTCTGTATTTTAAATGTTTAATTTCACTTTAAAAGATAATTAAAATGTATACTATATTTAAAGAAATGCATCTTCAGTACTTTTTCTAGGTGTCATTTACAAAAAAGTAACCTGGATTATTTAGGTTTTTTTTCTTTCAAATAGACTATGTCATCTAAATGACTGTATGTTGCTAACCTCATAATTTATGACTTGCATTGGTAAAAGAAGTCCAAGATCACATGAATAGTCATTAAATAAGTGCACAAACTTCATGTATGCAAGCATAGAAGGTTTTTTTTAAATAGTCTTTTACTCTGTTGCTATATTTTTTTTTTATGAAGTTATGAATTTCAGAAACTTTACTATTACAGGCAGCATCGATTGCAGATGAATCTGCAGAATCAGAAGGGATAGTTGATTCTCAAAAGCGTAGGGAAATACTTTCAAGAAGGCCTTCATACCGGTAAGGACTTTTAATTTGAATTTTTAAAGGCAGCTTGTATATTACAGCAAAACTGTCTGATAAAAACCTTATTTTTCTCATGGATATGGAATTTATATGTATAAAATTATCTTCTTTTTTTTTTTTAAGAAAAATTTTGAATGAACTCTCATCAGATGCTCCTGCAATACCGAAGATTGAAGAAGAAAAGTCAGATGATGAAGGAGTGCCTTCTGGAATTCCTGCAATGGCCATGCCAGCTGGCCTATATCACTCTAACACAGGGCAATACAGTATGTTTCCAAAGATACTATGTGATGTTGCAGAACATATGTAGGAACAGCTTTGTTTCTAAGAGTTCCATAATGAAGTGCAGATGTTGGATTTTGATGAAAAAGAATGAGAGCTTCTGTATTTCTAAATAATTTTGATCGTTTGTATTTAGTTTTTCCTAACGTGGGCATTATAAACTTTCAGTCTGTTTCTTGTAAAGTTTGTTGGTTGCTAGATTTTGTCCTTCTAGAATTCCTATGCATTAAAAATGTGGAGATGAGGCTCAGGTGAAATGAAAAATATTGGCACTTTGTGTGAATATTCAGTGTTATAAATCATTATGGTTTCCAATGGCTGTAATTTACTTTTTTTTGTGCTATTCATTACATGAAATGACAATTAGTGAGTTAAACTATTGTGAAGTCTAAGGCTGGAGTATGAAATTATTTCTTAACTTTGAACTTTTTTCTTAAAAGTACTATGTCTCTTCCTCTCCACTTGTCAAGTATGAACACTCTAACTGCAGAATTAACCTAAACTGTGTTCTCCAACATTTGATACTTCATCCAAATTCAAGTTAAAAGTTAGATTCACAGTTCTGTTCTATGGATTCATTGTTTCTTTTTTTAATTCTCTTATTTAAAAATGTTGGATAACTCTCCCCACAGCTTCTTTGGGCTTCATCAGATGTTATCCAAGGGATAACTTTTTAATACCTCTTTTTTTTCAATTATGTATAAACCAAAACTTTATTTGTACAGGGTTTTTGTTGTTTTTTTTTGTTTTGTTTTGTTTTGTTTTTTTTTGTTTTGGGTTTTGATGTGGTTTTTTTTTCTCCCCCCCCCCCCCCCCCCCCCCCCCCCGAACAGGAGAACAGAGGAAGTGTATTAAAACATTGCAGTAGTATATAAAAGAGGCTAGAATGGCTTATCACCCCTACAATTCCTCAATTATTTAATTCATGCAACTTATCAACTCTAAGAAAGCAGAATTTCCCTATCTACCCCTTCAGCATAGAAGGTCATTTTTCTTGAGTTCCTAAGCTGCTTTTCTTACCTTTTCTGTAACCTATAGACCTAAATAGGTGTCTGCTTCATGCTGTCCAGCATCTGAAGTGCTCTTTTCAGTGGACTTGTGGTCATGCTAAATTACAGTTATCTGGTACAGAATGTGACAGGTATTCTTGACCAAATTACTCTTCAAGTTTTGAATTATATTTTTAGTTTGGCTTAAGTTTAGTTAAAAATATATTAGCAGTTTCAAGGCTTAAAAAGGAATGCTATACTGTCTGTACTATGTTCTAGTGAGCCTTCAAACCTGAGGGATTTGTAAGAAATTAGAGTTTAGGGTTTTTAATTGTAATTTCCTCTAGGAAACAAGAATTGTACTTATACTAGGAGTGTCTTGCAGGAGGTGATTCTTAATTAAAGATGTTTCAGTTCGTGCATAGCTATAAATCATAGTGACAGGGAAGTGTATAAAAGAATAATGAAATTTATAGGTTTTGCTTTTTTGTTCAATCAGACATTAACTTTTGAAAACTCAAGCAACAGAGAACATCACCAACCATATGCTTAAATAAACAGAGTCCACAAACAATTAATTAAATGTCATTTATCTTAATTTAAACTTGGCTTTTGCATGAACCAAGCATAGATTTCTGGTTTATGCTGCTTTTCCTTGGAATAAATTACAGACATAGCCTAAAACATCTGCTGTGTATTTAAGGTAATTTAAGTTGTTAAATAGGTTTTCATCCATAATGAGGCATTGCTTCAGGTTGCAGTGTCAGCTTTTATAGACTCCTGATGCTGGCTCAAAACTTTTGAGAGCTCTGTCTTCATGGAAATGGTTTTTCTTATCCAATTTATTGTTCATTATTTTTTTTTTCTTTTATTAGTTCAACTTTTGAAGTTAAAATCTCACATCTTTTTCCTCCAGTGAATGTGTGTATTCTCTAATTCTGGTTAGGAAAAAGTGTTTCCAAGTGGTAGCTAGGATGGCCATCTCTTTGTAATGGAGGGGGTCTTAATTTGGAATTTACCAAAGAGAGCTTGACTGTTCACTTCTGGTCTTTAAATTTGTAAGGCACAGATCTGCAGCATTTCTGAGTAGCTGTCCTATGATCCTCAGGAACTGTTGTTAGCTAAAACCGGAACACTGTGTGGGAATGCAGCATTACTCGTGTTGATTTCAATCTGGATGTGATTCAGACGGTCACTACATGTACCTGTGTTACCTTTATGTCTCCTGTCAATACCTCCTTACTTTTGCTTTTAATTATTGTGTGAGTACTCATCTCTTCTTGACTCGCATTAGTTGCATGGGTTCTCTTGTACAGGCATCCAGCAGTTTATGCATTAAGCTTGTAAAGTGTCCATGACAATGAAGGATTGGAGAGTTGGTCTTGCAGTGTCACTACAGCCATCTGTCCTGTGCCCTGGTTTCACACATACCTTATGCTACTTTATTTGCTCATTCCTTATTTTCTCTACTGTTCTATCTCTGCATAGGAAAGGCAGTTTAGTTGAAAATATAATTTTGACTGTATGTTGGTGTTTGGATGTCTCTTTTTGGAAGATGTTGATAAGTAAATTTTTCTGAAAAACAAATACATTTTTTCTGTTAACAGCAGTGATGGCTGTTCTTTGCTTACTTTTTGCCAGCCAAAACAGTATGTTACCATGGTTTCCAAGTATCTTTGTCCCCAGAGCTTCTTGGCTTTAGACTATGGAAGCAGACAGACTGACAGGCATGACCAGCTAGATAAAATGTCTCTGTTACCTTCATCAACATGAGTTATCTTTCTCTAAGGGAAATGGGTAGTTTTGCATAAGGTGGTGTCTTGTGTATGAGCCTTGTAGCCTCATCTGACTAGAAATCTATTGTGTTTGCTGTAGTTCTGTCATGTTAGTTACTGAATACTGACAAAACGCAGGTGTTTTGCCTCACCTGTGGTGGTAGCCTAACCATGAAAAAGATATTGAAGCCTGTGTGCAGGACTTCCTACATCACATGTTCCCCGTTATTAGGGTAGGACTCAAGGTCCTTGCTGAACCCTTTTTCTGAATTGCAGATAGGGCTCTGTGCTTGCTCCACCATGAGAGGAATTCCCCATTTTCTCCAAAAAGAAGCTAATTTAGCTGCTGGGATTTGGCAATTTCGATAGATTACTATACTCTCAAAATATTAGCTGAGCTTCTAATAGTTAATGTTGTCTAATTTACCAATAACAGTTTACTAATCAACTGTTAGTATCTCCAGTGCTCTTTGAAGTGTTATCTGATGTTTCATTTTTAAGATAACTTACTCTTGTCAAGACAGATCTTTTGAAATTAACTATCTCCAAAACTCACATGCGTGTGTAATGAATCATGTATTCACATAACCAAAGCTTAACCTTCAAGAAAGTTATCCAATACTGTGAATCTGAAAGTGAAATCAGGAGCTGGCAATCCTGGATCTATACTTATATATATGACTTTTGTACTATCTCAGACCACTTTAAGTACAATGACAATTATTGTAGTTCAAAAATACCTTTCTGGGGGAGAAAGGAGTTTGTTACTTCTTGAGAATTGGTTCTCATCTAAAAGTTCTAAGAATATTTTAATTAATGTAAGAGACATGAATTTGACAGGTGGACCACTTGGTGGATAAGGAATTGGCTGGGTGGTCACACTGAAAGAGTTGCATTCAGTGGCTCGACGTGGGTGGAGACCAGTGATGAGTATTGTTCCTCAGAGGTCTGTACTAGGACCAGTATTATTTAACATCTTTGTTGGGGACATGTACAGAGATTGAGTGCACCCTCAGCAGATTTGCTGATGACACCAAGATCTGTGGTGTGGATGACATGCTGGAGGGAAGGGATGCCATACAGAGGGATCTTGAGAGGTGGGCCCATGCAAACTTCATGAAGTTCAGCAAGGCCGAATGCAAGGTCCTGACCCAGGAGTCAGGGCAATCCCAAACATTGATACAGGCTGGGTGATAAGAGGATTGAGAGCAACCCTAAGGGGAAGGATTTGGTGGTACTAAATATGAGTGGTAAACTAAATACAAGCTGGTAATATGTACTTGAAGCCCAGACAATCAGTTGCATCCTGGGCTGCATCAAAAGTATGACCAGCAGGTCGAGGGAGGTGATTCTCCCCCTCACCTCTCATGTGACTCCACCAGGAGTACTACATTTAGCTCTGGGGCTCCCACTGTGAGACTGACATGTACCTGCATGATAGGGTCCAGAGGAGTGCCACGATCAGAGGCCTGGAACATCTCCTTTATGAACCTTATCAGGCTGAGAGCGTTGGGGTTTTTTAGCTTGAAGAAGAGAAGGCTTCGGGGAGACCTTATAGCATTCTTCCAGTACTTAAAGGGAGCATACAAGAAAAATGGGGAGGGACCCTTATCAGGGAGTATAGTGATAGCATGAGGGATAATGGCTTTAAGCTGAAAAAGGATAGATTTGGATTACATATTAGGAAGAAATACTTTATACTGTGAGAGTGGTGAGACGCTGGAACAGGTTTCCCAGAGAAGCTGTAAATGCCCCATGCCCTGGCAGTGTTCAAGGCCAGGCTGGACGGGGCTTTGAGCAACCTGGTCTAGTGGAACGTGTCTGTGATTGTGGCAGGGGGGTTGAAACTAGATGATCTTAAGGTTCCTTCCAACCCAAACCATTCTATGATATTTCTACTATTAACAAGGACAATGCCAATTTCAAAGTGAATATGCAATTAATAAACTATGTAGGGAATTTGATTTTTGTCTTAAATATTTAATTATAATGAGCAACAAAGTATGATTTTTTTTTTTAATGGGGAAAGTATATTTATATCTTTCATATTGCTGATTATATGGGGGGAAAATCACAAACTTTGTTTTGTTTCGATTTTTATATAAGTATTGAACTCTTTGCAGCTTAGAAAAACATTGTTGGGCTAGAGTTACTCTCACACTAAGCAAAGGCTTGTGAACATCAGATCTAGCTCGCTCTTTGTCTAGATGCTCTTCCTTTGTCCTGGGTTTTGTTTTGTGGGTGTTGCTAAACGTAGCTGTTTAGTTTTTTTTCTTGTTTAATAACTTTTGTCAGTTTTGTGTTTGTATGCCTATAAGGTACTATTTTTATTTTTTTCTTGTATTAAAACTGTTTTAGGAGGGTTAATACTTCTGAAAGTGTAGAGGTAAAATGTGTGGAACACTGCTTTTTATCTGTTACACACATGGCATGTACTACATGACAGACTTTCTGTTTGTGGAAATCAGTGTTAATATTATGCAAGTTGTATTTTACAATTGATTTTAAGCAAGGAGAGGAGCAGGAGTCCTATCAGGCAGTGTTTATTTTAAAGAGAAAAATGTGCTTTTTAATGTTTAGGCAATATCTCTTTCTGTTGCTTAACTTCTTCTTTTTATCTTTAGTTACTATAACTCAAGGTGGTGCAATCCAGATTTCTAATCCAGCCTCTGATGGTGTCCATGGACTACAGACATTAGGAATGACAAATTCGGGAGCTCCTCAGCCAGGTGCTACCATTGTGCAATATGGAGGACAATCACCACATAGCACACAACAGTATTTTGTTCCAGGAAGCCAAGTTGTTGTTCAAGGTATGTTTTATTAGGCTATTGCATTTTAGTTTTTGTTTTTTTTTTATGCAAACCAGTTTTTCTTAAAAGGCTTTTTATTTTGTGTTGACATTATACCTGTGTGACAAAATGAAAGGCAGCCTTAAAAGGAGACTCAGTTTCTGTTTAGTAAAGCAGCTACTTCTTTTGATTAAAAAGTTTTATGAGGAGAAAATAACAGTATAAAATAACTTTCTACTTTGAGTTCTTGTGTCCAGAGTTGGAGAGAGATTTTTAATTGCAGTAAAGGCACTGTTACGGTTGAAATGAGATCCTGAGGATGCATCTTTTTTGATAATATGAAACTAATTTTGGGGTTTTTTTTCAGCATTTAATCAATTTGAAGTTCTTTGGATATGTTTAAGGCAGAATTTCCTTGCAATTTATGACTCCTAGTAGAAAGGAGATCTTTTACTGAATCTAGTTTTCTCACAGCAGAACGCTTTGTAAGTCCTATAACATGCACACATGCGAAATGAACTGTGAATAGTGAATTCTGGAACTTTACTGTTCCCAGCCTTTTGGAAATGCTGAGAGAAATTGAGAACCAAAGGTATCTTGGATTCTTACCTATATCAGGGAAAGTAGTGTTGGTATTTGGGTTATGCTGAGGGAAAACCTTTGAAAATGTGGAAGAGATTTCTGTACAGAGACACTAAATGAATGGTGTCCATGGATGATATAGGGAATTTATTTTCCCTATTTTTTTTTTTTTAAATGAGAGAAGTGGGGAGGGCTGTATGAATGCTTTCTTAGCTTTCTTAAGCCAGAACAGCTATCTGAAATAAACCGTGAAAAGAGCTAGTAAGGCTTTAAATATGTTCATGGGGCTGATGAGGTATCTGAGATAGTTGGTGAAATCCAGATTGAGGTGCCATTTTTACCCTAATATGGATATTTGAAATAAGTTCTGTCTGTGTCTGTTTCTTTCCCTTTGCTGTAAAGGAAGTCCAGGATGTAGATAAAGCTAATAGTTTGTAGATATCTGAACTTGTTGAGGCAATTCTAAATAATGATACCAAATTTTAATTCTTCTATTGCCTCTGGTTAATTCTTCACTGAAATACACTGTCTTCCCAAAACATTGCAGAAGCATTTCAAGGGAGTTTTGGGACTGTAATATATAAAAAAAATAATCTTAGCCAAAATGTTAGTTTTCAACATGCAGAGAGTACTGTTATATCTTCCTTAAATATTATTATGAATACTTACTCTGCAAAGCCTTGAGATCCACATTTGGCTGTCCCACAAACAGATTTCTCACTTTGGCAGTTAATGTTTTCTGAGTATGAGTAACATGTTTTCTATATGTGCATAAACATCCCTTAAATTAGAGGACTTTGTCTCTCCAGGTTGACTGTAGTGTTTGTATGCACTGCTTTGAGTCTTCAGAGCTTCAGGGGTGGAGTGTGGGTGGGGCAGAATGAGCAGCTCTTCAGTTGCTTCCTTGAATCTCCCCAGTCTGCGAAGAAGCACAGAACTTAGGGATTATATTTGTCAGTATTTCAGTTCTTGGGAATTTCATTTGACTCTGCTTCCTTTACAGACTGTTTGTTGCAGGGTTGTCTTTAGACAGGGCTGTTCTCTAACCTCCCTAGTAAGTCTCAGTGGTGGGCTCCACTGATGGTGTAGCCCATCAAGTGTCTTGCCTGTGATGAAAACTTCCAAAATGGATTCAGAGACAGTTACTGAATACTTGCTATATCCTGTTTCTGGAAGCTTCTACATACTTTTAACTAAATTGATCTGTTCTCTGTACATGCTTAGAGAAGTTGACTTGTTGCAATTCTCTCTTCTGTTGGCTCAAGCAAAATGCTTTAATGATGCTCATAGCTGTTGACACAGAAGAAAAATGGTGTATAATATAGAAAGGGAAAAATACAAAGGGAATAGTAAGTGACCGTGAACTCAGGGATGATGAGAAGGTAACAGGTTTCACCTTAGTATATACGCTGTTGATACCAGAAAGTCTTTTAAAAAATATCTTTAATTTAAAAAAAGTACATAAAAAGAGTATGAAAGCACCTGAGGATGTTTATGGTAATACAAATTTCTTTTTGATAATAATTGTGTGTTATCAACAAACCTGAGTTATTTAGGATGGAGTGAGACAATGGAATTAGTTTGATACATAAGTCTCTAATATGTTTTTATCTTGCCCATGCTAGAAAGTCTGTAGTCCGTTTGTCATTTATGTACACTTTGTAGTTGACGCTTCTCCTGATACTATGCTATTAGGTGACTATAATGGGAAAAGATTATAATAGGAAAGCAACATTCTGCTTGGTAATCTTCCCACTTAAGTATATTGTTATAATGATTCTAGGTATATAAATTTTAATTGTCGTGGAAGTAAAACCCCAAACAAATCAAAACCAAGCAACCAAAACAAACAAACTGTGCAAAAAACCAAGCAACAACAAAAAACCCCAAACAAAACCAACAACAAGAAAGCCACACAAACACCCCCCCCCAAACAACCCCCTCCCTCCCAATATGCTAGGCAACCCCCCTGAATATAGTAGGGCAGGAAAGATCTGTTTAAGATAGTGTACGTATTTATGTTTTTTCTGAAATATTTATTGATGAATCTCATGTGCAATAATCACATAAACCCTGTGCTTGATATTTTTTCATAACCTCTGATGGGGCAAATGAGTTAGTACTAAAGTACTAAAGGTGTTGATCCACTGAGTGATATTCCATTTGCTCCAAGTTTACATTCACAGGCAATGTCAGAGGCAGTTATGATGTCCTGACAGTTTTCTATTACATTTTAAGGTTTGGTTGTTGTTTTTTTTTGTTTTTTTTTTGGTTGTTGAAGCAGAATTAATTATTAGTGAGAATGTGCGTAAAAAAAAAAAAAAGTCTCAAAAATCATTCTGTTGGGATCTGTGTGTGTTTTATGATGTGTTCAGCGATATGAACAGTGGTATTTGACATCTGAGGCTTGTATTTCTTGCGTGCTTCGGTTCTGATCTTCTATTTATCTGATCCTGAAGTGGTCCTGTAATCACAGGGCACTCCTTTTTTGCACTGATGCTTCCATTATTTCTGTCCTTGGCATAGTTTCATAGCTGATGAATTACCGCTCTGAATTTGTTTATTTCAGACAAAGGCCTTAGAAGTTTGCTATGCCCTACATACAGACCAGAGCCTGGACTATTGGTCTGAAACAAATTTCATTTAAATTGGTGTAAATATAGAGTAATTCTGTTACAGATGAGTTTTTAGTTTTGTGTTTTTATTAATTAAAAAAAACCCTAAGTCAACCAGGTCTCCTGGACTTCATTTAAAAGGAAGGAATGGTGGAGAGGTAGCCCTTACCCAGAATTACTGTTTACAGCATCTGGAATCACTAGCTTTAGGTTGACTGACTTTGTTGGAGCTTTTTTCAATCTTTTCTGAAGCTTTTAACTTAAATGAGTGGGTTGTGGTTTCCCCCCAGCCCAAAGCAAGGAGTTTCAGCCTTTCATTTACCTATTGTTACATCTTATTAAGCTTTCCTGTGTTGCATGTCTCTCTGGCAGAGGTCTCTGCCTTTTAGTAGAACTGCTTCAATGAAAACAATTGCATGTCTTTTTAAAATTTCCCTGTCTTCTATCCAGTCGTGACTTTAATTTGGATTCATTTGTGAATGCTAGAGCCATGTTTTAACTTCTGTCAGTCAGTGCTGTGAATTTTCAGGTCTTGCTTTATAGGCAGCTTTGTGGTGAGTGCTTTCTCTGGCTTTGTGAATAATTCAGGGGAAAAGAACAGAGCTAGGCTTACAGAAATGTGGAAAAAGGAGGGGGAAAAAAAAAGGCTTACTGGAAAAGGAGTTCTTTGGGCTGCAGTTTCAGTGAGCTGTTCCAGTGACAGAGCATATTAATGACAGTGGTAAGCAAGTGAGGTCACTGTGATGTCAGTGCTCTTGCTTGTAGTCCCGCACATGCTTGCTAGTTTGGAACACTTCATGCTGAGCTCTGGTAGAGGAACAGGAGAATCGTGTGTGCAGACGCTGAGCATGGCTGTAACAGGAGATGAAACAGGTAAAAATTTTGTTAATCTTTTCCATTATCTTTTTGGCTGTCTAAGCAGTGCTTAGTTGGTATTTGTGACATTTTCTTTAGAACCTGTTTCTATAACTCTTTCATTTTTCAAACTGTACAAATAGCTTCTGATTATATCTAGTTAGTGTAGGATTTCAGGGCAATTTTAACAGTTTTGTTTGGGGGGGAAACAAATCACAGTTAGTACATGAGTTCTTGCACAGATTGATTCAGACAACTAATCTTTACTATTAGATGCAGGATTTTGCTGAGAAATCCACCACTTAAATTCATCTTATTGTGGAGATGGTCATATGTGTTACTATGCTTATAATTGTTTTTTATTTTATACAAATGACAGTGCTTTTTTTGTTTAGTAATAAACTCTTAAGCCTATTTCAGCTCTAAAATCTTAAGCAGAGCTGAGAGAGAAACAGTGTGCAGTTTCAGTACTGTAAATAAGCCCTGTGCTTTCATTATTAAAGAAAATGCTGAATGAAAACAAATTTGAGAGCGATAAATTTTAAGTATTATAGTGCCTGCTTGTTTTCTCCTCCACTGTTAAAATGGTCTGTTCCTCAGCTAATTGAGTTCAAAAGGCTGACGTCATTAGATTTCCTGGAATCGTGTTGAAGTAGGGAACTGGAAAAGTTAAACTCCAAACAAGATACACATTGACGTCAGCTCCAAGTCACGCTGTGATTTAGTCAGTTCCTTTCTGCTTCGTCAATTGCCTCCGGCAGATCTGTAATATTAACTGGTTCACAGCCGGGACCTATGTGCTGCTGCTCATTGCTGCTACCTACTGTTTCATTAATCCAAAGATAAGTATCTTCTCTAAGTCGACGTTTTGATTTTTCATGCTCAAAGAGATAATGATTCATGCCTTGTTTAGCCAGTTTAGTGGTGAAGTTGAAAACCCTTTGATAATCTAGTTCCATCATTATGACTTACAGAAGAATAGATGCACTAATACATACACTGGGCTTTTTTTCTCCTGGATAGTTACTGAAAGAACTTAAGTGCTGGGATGCTCTCTAGTGTTCAGCAAGTTACTTTTTTCAAGGCCCTGCTGATATGAGGTAGTTGATTTAAAAAACAATTAGTTTTTGTTAATTTCTCAGAGCTGTATTTACACGCTCTTTCAAATGAGGTTTGTTTGGTTTTGTTTGTTCGTTTGTCTTCCTTTTAATAATTTTCTTTATGTAAGTCTCAACTCAAAGCTTCAGGTTTGCAGTGGCTTCTTACTCCCTTGCAATTTTAAGAAGGGGAAAAAAATTAAAAATTACCTGGAGCAATGTGTTAGGGAATACACCATCTCCAGGTTTGTTGCTTAGCTTTGTTTCAGTCCCATGTATGGTATGTCAGGAATTACGTTAAATCTCCATGGAACTTTGTCAGAAATAGCCACAGAGGTTTATCAGTTGGATTGGGGTGTGTGGAATTTTTGTCTCAAATGCTGAAGTGGAAGGTACGCTTCTCTGCGATATGCAGATACATTACTAGACATAAACCATAATTTTATTTTTTTTTCAAGGGTATCTTACAGCACCACCACCACATACCCTTCATCTCCTGCTTAAAGCCTGTTTCAACTTTCCCAATGACTTTTTTTGGAGGAAACAGTATTTTATTGTAACTTCTGGAGATATTATACAGAAAAACTTGAAGACTTTGAAATAACTGATTTGCAATAATGTGTGGGTTTATAAGGTCTGTGTACCAAAAAGGTTATTTATCTCTGTTACCATGTTGTTAGATTCATAAATGAGTCAACTGTTAGGAAGGCACAGACACTACTGGAACCTGCTCAAACTATTCATGTGAAGTGTTGCTTAGTGGTGTTTGTTGATCCCAGCTGAGATAGGGCCTCGCTTTGTTAAGTCTTGTTGCAGGTACATGATCATAGTGAGTCTTCTCGGGACTGAGTGCAACAGCAGCAGTAAGTCCTATTAGCTAACATCTGACTGTAAATCAAAGACAAAAAAATAGTTGGTCTTGCCAGGCTGAGGTGACCTGGGTTATGGGCCTTTCCTCATGACTTGATCTACAAAGTGCTTCACCTGGACTTCTGATTCATTGTAGCTACTGCAAACCAAGATAACATCTCTTTTTTTAGATAGTAATGATAGAAAAAGATAGTTCTTACCATAGAGTCGGTAAAATGTATGTAATATGGCCAGCATAAAGGTGAGCCTGAAGGGTTTATAAAATTCCATTTTAAAAATAGTGCTAAGAGATGTGGAGAACTTAAAGAAAGAATTAATTTTCTTCTAGATGTACAAGGCCACCAAACCCTGTGTTCAGGGTGGCTGCCTGTTCAGTGCTCACAAGGCTGTCCTGAGCTGATTTCTCTCTCCCTCCCCCATCCCTAGGGGATTATCTGTAACCCAGGCCAGTTCACTGGTCCTGTTCATCTTGTAATTCCACAAACACTTTTACGAGCAGGATGGAGAAAGGGGGGAGGTGTAAAGTGTTTAAGCTGATAATGATTTCAGGACATGGCTATGGAATTGTAGTCTAAACACAGCTTGAACCTATTTTTTATATTTAATTAGTGAAGCACCTGCATTAACTTAATAAGAATGATAGTATTTTTTTTTTTTTTTCAGTTTAGGTTTATTCCCCTCCCTATAGTTGACTGATGTCTCTTTACTTCTGTACCTGTCAGCCTCCCCAAGGTGTTTTTGTCTACATTTTGTTTTTCCAAGTTGTCCTGGTTTTGGCTGGGAGAGAGTTAATTTTCTTCATAGCAGCTGATACAGTGCTGTGTTTTGGATTCAGGATAAGAATAATGTTGATAACACACTGATGTTTTAGTTGTTGCTGAGCAGTGCTTACACTAAGTCAAGGACTTTTCAGCTTCTAATGCTGCCCTGCTAGTCAGGAGGGTGGGGGAACACAAGAAGCTGGGAGAGGACACAGCTGGGACAGCTGACCCCAACTGGCCAAAGGAATGTTCCATACCATATGGCATCATGCTCAGTGTATAAACTGGGGGGAAGGCTGGCTGGGGGCTGCTGATCAGGAACTGGCTGGATATCAGTCAGTGGTGAACAATTTTTATTCATTTGCATCACTTGTCTTGTGTTTTATTTCATTACAATTCTTTTTCTTATTATCATTCTTCTTATTATATTTCAATTATTAAACTGTTTTCATCTCAACCCATACATTTTCTTACTTTTACCCTTCTGGTTCTATTCCTCATCCCACTGGGAAGGAGGGGAATTAAGCAGGCAGCTCTGTGGTGCTTAGTTGCGGGCTGGTGTTAAACTGTGACACCAGTTTTTCCATTATCTAAATATTGCTTTAAAGAACTAAAGTATAAATTAATTCTAACATAAAAGCCTCTGAAATTTCATGTATTATGTTCAGTCGCTTTAATTACAAAATTTGGAGTTTGGTGTGTGATAATATAAAATATTTATGGAAAGGAATAGGTAGATACTTGCTTGTAATTTGAAGAGAGATACTTCCCCCCCCCCCCCCCCATCAGACAAGACACAGTATGTAGGACTTTAACAGTATTTTAAAGTTGGGGTACATCATGTAGGAATGAAGTACCTCAGAAATACAGAAATGAGGGAGACCATCAGGAAGGTATTGACTCCAAATAACAGGTCAGATTTCAGGTCTGTGTTTGGTTTGGGGAGGGCTCAAAAGTGGTAGTAGGCTCAGGAGCTGAATATGAACTTTTGCACTCTGGCTTACTGTGTAACTATACCCCTTCCTGTGAAACAGCCACTACTGTCTCTTGCCTGCTAGTTCTGCAGCATCCTATTTGTGGTCCTTTTGCTCAAAGAGCATACCCCAGTTCACTGTGAGCACTTGTCTGTTCATTTTCATTCTGGCAACAGCAGCTCTCACTAGTTTTGCAAGGGTTTCTGTGCTGCTGCTCTAGAGGGAGGAAAGGCAGTAAGGCTGGTACTGTTGCTATGACAGGGAAAGAGGAGAAAGTTGACTTCTGAAGCTTCTGTTGGAGGACAAGGGGTAGCATGTAAATTTCAGTGGCTGCAACAGCAGAACCATATTTTTGTGGAATTGTGTGAACAGGGAATAAGTATGCACACTGTGTTTTTCAAGCAGTTTTCCCTATGTTGTCTGAAAAGAGCCATGTGGAAGCTTTCACAGGCTTCAGTCTGGCTGGCTAGTGGGACCATGTGCTAGAGCAATTTAGATAACTTATTTTATAGTGTGGAAATAAATGCTAGAAAAATAACAAATGTAGCTGTGACATGACAGGCCTATGAAATATTTTATGTAGCAGGGATCCTGGAGAACTCATCAACAGAAATCTGTTGTTCTGTGACTCTTGTGTAGTTTGATTTTTTTTTTGTTGTTGTTGGTTTTTTTTTCCCCATAAATTTTAAAATATGATTCTTTTATACAGCTGCCACTGGAGACATGCCAGCTTACCAGATTCGAACTCCCACTACTACCTTACCTCAGGGAGTGGTAATGGCTGCCTCACCGGGGACTTTGCATAGTCCTCAGCAACTGGCAGAAGAGGCAACTCGCAAGAGAGAGCTGAGACTTATGAAAAATAGGTAAGACTATATCACAATTAATAGTCAGTGTTGCAAAAAAAAACCCAACCCCAAAACATTCTAGTGAAACTTTCTTCTTAAGGTCATGAGCTCTGCCTCTGAGTGATAAAGTGAAGGCAAGAAATTGTCAGTCATCCCACATCCTTATGGCATTGTGTATTGGCTGTTAACTCTGGAAAACTAGAGTTGACCTTATCACCATGGATTTTTAGTTTGAAAATATTATGGAAATTCAGAAATCAATATTAGTGTTGTCCCTTTCTGGTAATTTTTGTGATGATCCGGAGGTGTACTTAGTGTTGAATTCCCCCCGATCCACCAACAGTAAAATGACCAGTACGGGTTTGTTCATCTTGAAACATCCCAGCAAAGAATTGGTTAGGAAAATATCTGAGGATCTCATTAGCAGTCGTCCATTAATGATGCTCTGAAGAGGACTTATTCTAGGGTGGAATGATAATTATAGGCTTTCCAAAATAATTGGCTACTGTGATAAGTTACTGTGCAGTGCCTCTGTCATTTTGTGAGGCATATTGTGTGAGGTGGCTGTATTTTTTTTAATTAGTTGGCATGGGCTTGACTGTGTGCTGTAACTGCCGGTCTTTCTCTGCTTTCTTCTTTCTGTTCTTAAGGGACTCTCCTTTTTTCAAATGCATAACTACTGCAATCAGTGGCAGTTAGATTAATGGAAGAAATAGTCTGCCATGCAGATCTCTAATACATTGAATAGCCACTTGCTTTATGATTAAATTAATGGTATTGCTTTGCTCTCATGCCTGTCCTTTATTTTAAGTTACTCATGAAGATCGCTGCATTGTTGTGCTTCCTTTTGTTTCTCTTTTCAGTTTTAATACTAGATCTGTGCTCTCCCTCATATAACTTGCTGGAAAGTTACTCTCACAATTTGACACTTTATCATGTTCCAAGATCTTAAAGGAGCAAACTCCCAGTACTTCTAAAATTTATTCTGGAATTGAATGCCCGTTCAGTCACATGCTTCTGAAAATACTACTCAAAGTGTTCAGCTTCAATGTAACAGAATTTTGAGCAGAGCTATGAGAATGGCTCCATGCTGCCATTTGCCAGCAGCAAAAAAAAAACAACAAACAAACATCGCAGATGCATGTGGTTGAAATGTGCCCAGGTGGACAGCTCTAAAATGCTAGTAAATTGTACTTGTTTGGACTTAAATTTTGCTGTAGATTGTTACATTAAGGTAAAGAAATGACAGCAGGTTGTAAGCTTGGCATTTAGCTTTTTGTCTGAAGAGAGTAGTGTTATGCTTGTATTTTCTGAAAGTATATTCTTTAGTTTGATTTTAAGATTTTGATTGCAGAATACTGATAAACACACAAAATGGAATGTGGCTGGAAGAAGAAACGCTGCTTTCAGTCTTCATGTTTAGTACAATTCAAGTCAATACGTTGACATTTGCTCACTGTTTTTCTTGGTTCCTCTGTGTATCAATTCCATCTTTGTATTTGTTGATGATGAATTTTTTTTCAAGTTCTAGTTCTTTGGAATTGTATTTTAACTGTGTTATTGCTTATGGCTGTTACCTGCTGTTCTGTTTGTGCAATCCAACAGTTGTTGTTGTTGGTGGTTGTTGTTGTTGTTGTCGAAGAGCAGGGATTGCAGGTAATTTCATTTATCCAGTCTTTGCCATATTGTGGCTGTTCCTGTAGTCATTTGCCTTGTATTGGTTCCAGGGAAGCTGCCAGAGAATGTCGCAGAAAGAAGAAAGAATATGTCAAATGTCTTGAAAATCGTGTGGCTGTGCTTGAAAACCAAAACAAGACTCTCATTGAGGAACTCAAGGCCCTCAAAGATCTTTATTGTCATAAAGCAGAATAACTGTCTTTCATTTGGACCTCGTTTATTATGAACTTTAATCAAGGCATGAGAGGAAGCAATTCTACAGATTGCCATATGAACATGAGAAAGAGACACTTGAGGCCCTTGTGGAACCCAGTTTTGCTTAGTGTTTTCAGACTGATTTGGGAGAAATTCCAAAATTCGGAATTCTGACATAGTGTCCGTAATCTGCTGAGCTTTCTAATGGCATGCAAATGGCTTTTTTTGGTTGCACTTTTTACTTCTGCTTTTTGCAGGGAAGCTGCTAAAGAATGTCGACGTCGGAAGAAAGAATACATAAAATGTCTGGAGAGTCGTGTTGCAGTGCTAGAAGTTCAGAACAAGAAACTTATGGAGGAGCTTGAATCCCTAAAAGACATTTGCTCTTCCAAAACAGATTAGTAAACATATTTATTATACTGTGAACTGACTAAAATATGACCAGTTGCTTTATAAGATAATACATAGCCAACATGAATTATGGCTTTCTTTTTGTGTCATTTATATTATATTCCAACTCCTAACATTCCTGAATGCTTTCCTGCTTTTTGTCAATTCATAGCTCTAATTTCAGGTTTTTCATGTTCCTCCCTTCCATCTCCCAAGGAGCCAAATGTTAAAGAAATGTAAGAAAGCAAAAAAGCGCATAATTTTTAAGAGCTGTTTCTTTGCCATATATTTACATACTACTTTTTACATGTTAACTGAGTGACCTGCACATAGAAAATAATGTACTATTATTTTAGATGATTCGTGAAGATAACGCATCCAGTAATACAAAGAAAATCAAACAACCCACGGTATCTCAGGAAAGAGTTTATAAAAGAATGTTATGATTACATATATGTACTAGCATACTAGTCTACAGATGATTTTATGGCATATTTTTATATTAGTTGCTTTGTGGAAAAAGTATTGTATTGCTGTCACTGAGTGCCATGGTTAAAGATAGTTTTTAATAGAACCATGTTGTTTAACATGTGTAGTGTCTCATTTCCTTTAAACACCTGGTTATTGAAGATACTTTTAAAACCCATGAGTATCCGGAAGAGGTTAAAGGAAAGGAGTATACTGACGTGATGTTAAGTATAGCGTAAATACCAGAAAGAAGCTGTCTGTTGTAGGGCTGCTCTTTACTTAAATTTCTTTTAGTATATAGGCTGTTTGATTTGTTAGGGTCTGAATATCAAAATTCAGTATTGAATTCTAAATACTTTATATTCTAGATTCTGGCCAGTTGTAGACAGTTGCCTATAGCAAAGGCTTGATGGTATAGTTCTTTTTACACTTTCTGCAAAATGCTGAGAGGAAGTAAAGCTGACTTAAAGAGGAAGGCTTTCTAATAAACAGTAACTATCTGCTGATTCATGGGGTTCCATGGGGTGCCTGTAGGTGAGAGCTGGAGATCTTTAAAATAAACCCTTGCTTAAACCAAATTACAGTTCTGGTGAATGAAATACACGCCAACTTTCCATTGTGCTTTGAAAGAAAACAGTGCTTATGCAGAATTGCTTCTGGGTATTCCTTTAATTCAGGAATGATCTAATTGTTTGTTGGCCAGTACAGTCTATGAGCAAAGTATTTGGGAGCTTTGCTGGAATTAGCAGCATCATTCCCTTACTGATGCGGTAGGAAAAAAGGCTTAGTTCCTACTTAATCGGGTTCTCGGGGGGGGGGGAAGTATGTGTGTATGGAGTGGGGGGAGGGATGGGATCATATAACTGAAGTCACTGAGACTTCCTCACTTAATTTAAACTGAATTCACATTTAACCCAATCTTTACTCTGACACCAGTGGGGTAGGGTGCGTGTATATATATTTTTTTTTTACTTTTTAAAAAAAATTATTATTTAATTTGTCTGTTTGTTTTGCTTTCCCAAATTACTTGAAATACGTGGAATAACTTTCTCGAATCTTTCTGAAAATCCCACTAGGTACCTACATGAGACCATTTGCAGAAACCACTTCCCACAGCCCCATCAGTTGATTTAAAAGGAAACAGGCTGCCTTTTGGACCCACAGGCTCTGCTGCAGGTCTGGAACAAAAGTAAAGTCAACTCTGAAATATCTGCATCACTGTGAAAATACATCTTAAGTGTTAAAGTCAGCAGAAGTCAAAGTTTCTGTTAAAGTTGGACAAGTACAGTCTGCAGCCTCTAGACAGCCACAAGTGTCCAGCAAATTGTTTGTTGTGGCTCTGTCACCAGAATCTGTTTTTATTTTTTTGTTACAGGTAGGCATTGCACCTGACTCAAGGGATTTTGAAACTTAAGAGGAAGAAACTTGGGCATGTAGTACATGTCTCCACAGTAAAAGCATTTCTTTATCTTCACAATAGTATTTGGTACTAACTGTAGTTAGAAATTTTATAGGAGAAATCTGTGTCTATTCCACGTCTGTGTTGTCAACAGTCATTCCCTAGCTAATTCTTTTAAAGCATTTGATTAATGTTTATTTTTTATTTAAATGTTTACTTGAGTGTGGGTGGTGCTTTGTTAATAATGACAGCTAACCGCTCTTGGTGCGTGTTTGGTCATTCTGGAAAACTCCCATTTGATTTATCTATCTACACGAGGGAAAAGTATCCTGCTTCAGAAAAGCCAACTGCACAGAACCTGGCTCATTTAGATAAGACTAGGGAAAAAAATAAAGTTTATGATGTACATAATTCTTCCATGCTCAGTAATTCAGTTTGGTTAGTATTAATTTGACAGAATTAGCCACAGACATTTCTGTATTTTAAAGTAAAAATGAGTTTGTTGGTGAATAAGAACATTTAAAATTAAAGTCAGTAAATTAGAACGAAGATGTGTCTTGTGAAGGAAATAACTTATTTGAAAATGAGCAAAGGAAGATCTGCACGTATGCCAAGAATCTGTTGTCCAATTGCTACTGCAGAAATTACTATATAAAACAACAAATCTAGTAGCGAGTTGGTTTGACAGATGTACATTGAAAACTTTGTGAGAGAATTCCCCGAGAGTAAAGGAAGATTAGAAGGAAAAGTCAGTGTACCACCAGGGTTTGTCAGAGAAATAATACCAAAATGCTTAAGTGAGATGGGACTGCAGGAGCCTGGGTCACTGTATATCAGTATATCAGAAGATTAAAGCAATAAATAGGGTATATGCTAGGATACACAAATTAGTTTAGATTATAAAGGAAAATAAATCATACTAAGTCTTCCTTCAGTTTGTTTCCTCTTTTAAGGGTCAATGTAGCCCTCAAGTTTTAGATCGGTGTGGGACTCATTTCGTTCGACATCAGTGTCATGTTTCTGAAGGTATATCAGCACTGGAATCCAAAGTAGATGCACATGTGCTATGAATGAGAATTTTCCTTTTGACTTGCTGTCCACCAAGCTTGCATTTGTGCGTGTAAGTCCTGTGCTTGCTAGTGCTCCTCTCTCAGGGCAGAAAAGGTGAAATTGTTGCTTCTTACTCTTCATGAAACAAACTGGAGTTTGACTGGGGGCTGAATCTGTAACTGCTAAAGTTCTTGTGAGGTGACACTAACACATTTTGTAAGTTGTGCTGCCTAACATTCTGGGCAAAACTGCTTATGTTTGTAGAATGGCACCCGCTTTCTGGATACCAGGTCAAGAAAAGGTCAGTTTATATTGGTTGTATTGAACTTCTTAGAGTAAATCATCATCTAAATCAGTTACTGTTATTTTTACTGAGGATATATTTTGATGGGAGAAACTGCTTTCTGGATTTTATCTGTCTCTTCACTTTGTGACCAGTTTTGGTTTACCAAAAGGCCAAACAATCTTGTTGCAGACAATTACCATGTGGATCAGATGCTGAGCTCAAAGTATTTCCTTCAGTGACAATGGCTGGAAAAACTGTCCCTTTGACTTTATTCATGTCTCCTTCTTTGTGATATAGATATGATAGATCTATCCTTTTTCCTAGAAATACCATCATCTAAAATCGTACAGTGCAAATGTGCAAACTGTTGGTTTTTGTGCAAGGTTTGTGATGTGGCTGTCAATCACATACCCAAGGAAACACAGTACCAGTGCCTGTTGTGGTTCATGTGTGTGCTGGGACTTGCACTCTGTCCTCATTTTGCTGCTTCAGTTCCCAGTTGAATCAGGCTCTGGGTTCAGTATTCTTTCCAAAGAACTTCTCAACCACAAGATTAAAACCCACCTTCTGTCTTGTTGCATGTGTGTGGTGTTTTAATGCCTTTTCCCACATTTTGATGCTGTTTCTGCTCTCAGAGGCTGCTAAGAATCTGCAAATAGCAACTGAAGAGGTGTTCAGTCTTAATTATCTTACTCAATCACAGTCTCGTTTGACAAGGCTGGGAAGCACCTACTTCTCTATTAAAAACATAGCTCTGAGCTCTGGATACCAGTATAATTTCCAGAGGAATCTGATTCCAGTTCAGATTTGTGAAGCAGAGTCCCTGGTATGGTTCAGGAGAAAGGCCTTTTGAACACAGTATTATTCTTAATACAGAAACATTAAATGAATCTGAGTTTGTTTACTACTAAAGAATCTGAACACTGCCCAAGCTTTGATTTATCAGAGCCAGGACTTTTTTTTTTTTTTTCAGTACCAGGAAAGAAAAGACTGAAATTCTTGTGATTTTCATTCTGTAAGAAAACTGCATCCCTGAGTTATCCCTTGCTGAAGCCATGCAGCTGTTTGCAGATTTCTTTGTAATAGATAGCTGGAGGATCTGCTTTTACTTTACAGAAAGCTATATCCAAGACTGCATGGATGTTGTTTTGTTTTTCAAATAGAATTTCACAGAGCTCAGGGGAAATGGTCTCTTGAAAAATGTCTTCAACATCCTAGAGTTGTGGGTGATGAGGAATGTAATAGTCAGCTTCCTCTTAAGGTACAGCTTTGAGTCATAGCTGTTTTCTTCCCCATCTAAATGGAGTGGGGAGCAGAGTTATAAAGAGAAACCTCTAGGTTATCTGAGCAGAGCTGTCTGTTGACTGTGTTAAACAGCCTCAGCTGTTGTGATCTGGAAAAAAGGGATTAAAATAAGTATATTGTGTGAGTAGGTGTGGGTTTGGCTTCTTTGGTGGTTTGTTTGGTTGTTTGGTTTGGTTGTTGGGTTTTTTGGGGGGAGTGGGAGGTGTGATTATCACTTCCCATGGATTTTTCTGTTTGCAAGAATAATTGTAGCATTTTCTGCCTGCACTGATGCAGTCCTAAGGAATGCAAGCTCTCTTGTGTCTCACTTGTTCTCCAGGGTTTTCCTTTCCTTGTCAAACATAATCGCTTATGTAGTACCATTCTCCTGCAGACATCAGTGTAACAGCTAAATCCACTGTGATCTTTTTCTGAATGAAGTATCACTTAAAAGGAGACAAAAGGATCTGCTCAGCTTCTGGTTTGGATTGACTCATTTTGCCCACTTTTCTGTTTAAAATCCACTTGGTGTTCATGTATGTGGGGGTGTACATGACAGAAATGTATTGAATGTTGAGCAGTTCAGCAGCTGATAGAAGTTGCTGCATTTTGATTGTTAGCATTTTTGTATAAAATATTGTCTTATGGGGAGAGGGTTTAATTTGGTTGGGGATTATTTTTTTTAGGGCACTATGAGGCTCTTCTGGATGAGGGATAACAATAATTTCATTATTCCAGCAAAAACTATGTTAGTTTTAATATTTGCTTTATTTAAACACTGAGGAAAATGAGAGCAGTTTGACAGTATCTCATGCAGACTGGCAATGGCAGGTAGCAAAAATCAGTTAATTCTTCTTCTGTCTCTAATGAATCTTTTTCAGTTCATTTTCTCAGGTTTCTGGGTGTTTTCCTACTGCAGAGGTAGAGCTTTCTTCTTGCAAATTGCTTGGTAGACATAGTTATGAAGCAGAAGCTGTAGATATGCACAAAGTCTCAAAGAGAAAGAGGGCAATAGGAGAGTTGAATGCAGTGTGTAGACTAAGAAAAAAAAACAACTTCATTGTATTCTGTATGACTTGAATGGAAAAAACAGCGAAGGAAGTGTCTTTGTTATAGTAACTGCTGAGGTTTTTCCTCTCCTTTAATAGCCGTATCAGTGGAATCGGGTGTGATTAATACATCTCGTGAATGGAATTATAACTATAAAAATGGCACAAATCAGAAATCTGGTTACCTAGCCAAGCCATTGTTTTAGTTTTGTGGTTTCAAAGGTACAATTTCCAAATGGTCTTGAATGAGGCTTTTAATGGTCTTATTTTCATGATTCCTACACACACGCTCTCCTCCTCCCTCCCTCCCCCCGTCCCCCCTGCCAAATGTGGTTGTGCTTATACTAGATAGAAGCTGCTGAGGAGTTTAACAAAACGAGTTGGTACCATCGTGCCTGCTTTTTTCAGAGTAGATCTCTAAAGATTTTATTTATTTATTTGTTTGTTTTCGGCAAGGTATTTATTATGTTTCCAGCTTTCATTAATTCTTACAGAAGCAAGAGAACTCCAAACACATTTTTACATTTTATGCATACTGAAGTGTTTGCTGGATGAAATCAGTTTTGAAGAATTAGATTCTCAAAGGCCCTGGTTGTATGAGCTAACAGTTTTCAGAACTTTGTCAGGTGCCATACAAACAAGAAAATGCTTAAATCCTTACACAACTGCCTCTTTACCAGTGAAATTCTCACTTGCTTCATATTAATCTTTTTTCCTGTAAAATGACAGCTAGGCACTCATATCTGTGTCTGATTTCCTTCTAGTATATTTTGAATGTGATGGTCAGTTTCAGTTAAAGTTGATAGATATGTCAAAGATCTCTCAAGCTCATGAAAATTGGTGGTTACCAAAGAGGGCATGGACTTAACGGAATGAAAAGCTACATTGTAAGCTTTGTTAGATATAAGAAAACCTACTTGGAATTCTCTCCTGTTAGATTTCAGAGAATTAATTCACTGATTGTAAGTGAAATGAGGTTTCATTAGTTTTATTGCAGACAACTATTTCTATTTTGGGGGGCTGAACATAATTTCCATGGAATACACTGTATTTATTTAAAAAGATAATCTGTTCCTAGAGAAAGTGTATTTCATTAGAAAGCTTAAATACCTTTCAGACCTAAGCTATTGGGTCTGAAGTTGTTCTCTGCCTGTTCACTAAGCCAACAGTAGTTAACTAAAGGACAGTGGAACGTACCCAGATAGAACACTTGCTGGATGCTGTCCCAGGTTTGAACAGTTACTGACAATATTGCGCACTTCAGCTAGGAAAGTACGTTAAAAATAGTCTGGATTTGAAGTACAGTATTTACAATAAAAAATGCTCACTGCCTTTATAGTTGCATTGTAGTAGCTGTGAGTAGAGAGTCTGGTGGTAGTTCACAGTTAAATTTGAAATGCTGGTAATTTCTGACGTTTTGGGTTAAATGCAAAGCAAAAAGATGTTTTTTCCAGCTGTTTCAGAGTGACACCTTGTGGAGTGTAAATGTCTACACTTATTTCCAAACTGATTAAGCAGCCAAGCGATATTACAGAAGCAAAATATTTCTTGTATCCTGTGATACAAGGGGAGGGTGATGGGAAGTGGGGTGTTCTGTGGCTATTGAGAACAAAACCTCATTTTTCCTGCTGTTCCTGTATTAATATGTAGTGAGTAATTATTTATAATTTGATAGCCTTCTAACAGGAAAAAAATCATATTGACAAATTGTCAATATGTTTTGAAATTTAATGGTGTGAATGGAAAAGGAAATAATGCAATTTTAATTCAGTCACATGGACATAATAATTTTGGAAATAGAAGAGGGGATACAAAGTGGGAATACAGAAAATATGAAAAGATAAAGGCACAGTGATGAAGAAAATCCATTCTTCAGGCTGGATAGATTTCACTTTTCTAATTGCTCACTTCTTCATTACAACCATGAATATGTAATATTCTACCCCATAGTCACATATGCAAGCATCTGGCTGTATGCATAGGTTATACTCAGGACTTTGCAGTGTTTTGTCGTAGCTCCTGTGAAGTCAGAACAGAGCACCTAAACTGATTTTTCCTTATTCAAGAGAATTAGCCACATACATGAGATGTGATCTCAAGATCTAGAACAGCAAGTGAATTTCCATATGGTAAGTTAATGGGCTTGTTCTATGAATAATGAAAAGATACATGGTTTCAGAATTAATGTTATTGTGAGGTTCATGTAAATATTTATATAATGTAATTAACAGCTAAATTAGTTACTAATACCATGCAATTTCAAGTCATAAATGTAATATTAACTTATTAACTTAAGTAATATTAAATTATTAACTTAAGTCACAGTTTAAAGCGGTTCTTAAAGTTCGTGTTGCAACTGAGACGCTCCTGAGAGGGTCAGTATCCACCTGTATTGTAGTGTATGACTGCAAAGTTTATAAAGTAGATTTGCTGTCCCAGCTTTTCCGGTGTAGGTGGTTTCGCCTATGTTGGACCTGGTTGTATATCTTCCCCAGACTGGGGCATTCCCGAGTTTAGAAATGTTATGCTCAAACAACATTTAACATCAGCTCTTGCTGTTTGAGTAGATCAGTTGGTTTCACAGACAAAGCCCTTCTGTTTCCAGTATGCCTCCCCTTCTCCCCATTTCCTAGAGTAAAAGAAGTACGTGCTACATTTCTTTAGCCAATATTTTAGCCCTGCAAATGCTGAAGTCTTCTGCTTGGTCTCCAGCATCTGCTATTAGTGCCCTGGGGATCTGAAATGGATTTTCCCACAGTTGAGCTCTTTTCTAACAGCAGAGGTCTCACTGTCTGACTTGAAAACATAGGAGGGGAGAGGAGAAACAGCTCGGACGAATACTCACCGCAGTATCTGTAGGCTTCAGGTCAGAGACATCTCACAGGCACACTTATACCAGATATACTCAATAAATGACTGACAACAGAACCTCTGGTCTCTACTGGACATTTTTACTGGACAGTTTAAACAGGTTATTCTTCCTTCTGCAAGCATCACTTTCTATCAACTCCTTTGGGTTGTTTTTTGTTGTTTTTTTTTTTCCCAAAGGCATCTCTGGGATTGATGGCTTTTGTAGTGGAGTTTGACCCAGCTGCTTCTAGGTAACAGTGTTCTGTTTCTTTAGAAAGATTGCCAGCTTCCACCTTTGGAAATGGAACTCATTACTCTTCTTTGTACACACTTCATGCTGAGGGAATGGCTACAGGGATGTCAAAGTGCTTTTTCAAGTGTACTAAGGTAAAATAAAAGCATATGATCAAATCTGAAGGTAGGAGAAGCTTCCCCTCAGCAAGAAGAGCACCCCAGTAATAAAATCACCAACACTGTGCTTTAAAGCTTCATAACAGACTTTAGATCTGCTCAAAGTTTTTCCTTACCCACTGTTCTGCCCCCTGCAAAGGTTTTGAAAATACAAAATTTCAACTGTACAGCCAGTCTAAAGAGTCTGAAAGAATCACTTTACAGCAGGTTATGTAAAAAGTCTGATTCCAGAATGCTGAAACTCTAAGAAAATAAATCTAGTGCATACATGGCTTTATTATGCACCACAGAAAGATTATATTTAGGAGAGAGGAAAACATGATTAACAGTGTCAACATAAACTTAATTTTTGGTTAGGGTACAGCGCAATTTCATTTGTCTGAAATACTCCTGGAAAAATCTTTCATATACAGAAAAAAAATTGACTAATTTATAAGGATTTATGCAATTGCACATGATAAACTGTGTGTAAATCAAACAGCAAACACGAGTCTAAAATTAGTGTCCCTTATGAAGAGGCACAATGATCAAGTATGTAGGTCACATTTTAGAGATTATTTATCTGGGATCTTGGGCAGATGCCTAGTAAAGTGAAACACATTTAATGGAATTGCTGATATAAAAATAATCCTATTAAAATAAAACATTAACTTTGTGGTAATATAGAAAAGTGGTGTAAGAACACCAGCTTGGTTTTAAAATACATACTTGATAGGTTAATTTCCTTATCAAATGAATAAAATCTCTGTAAGCACAATGACTAAATACATTTTAAATGTGATTAAAGATTATGTTCTGGATGAATTCATCTGCTTTGAATCTTTAGCAACGTAATGCAAGATAAAAGGTAGTAAGAATCCAGGGAATGTAGCTGGTACACAAACAGGTGATGCTTGGTATGTGACATTGAAACCAAATCAGCAGGTTTTGTTTGCTCATGTGAGTCAATAACTGTAGCAGAAAGCCTGGGCCTGGCAGCAGCTTTTCCATGAAAACCCACAGATTCTACATTAAAGTTGTTGTCATCTATTTTTATTTTTTCTTAAGTTATTTACGTAAGACACAACAACAACCAAGCAACTGAACAGCAAACATAAAAAACAAAAAAAAAAACAAAAAAATTAACCAACTAGACCTTCCCCAACAAATAAAAAACCCAAAGTTTTTCTGTCTTTTTTACTCAGTAGGTACCTGAGGAAAAATTAAGACGTGTACTGGAACAAATGAGATGGGAAAAATAGTAGTGCCTACTGTAGGCAATACGAGTGGTACAAAATGAATCTGCTTTATCTGGTTCTCCTTCAGCGCTCCTGAAGCAGGCTGTATCCAATGATGAGAGAAGCAGAACTGCCTGAAGAACAGAGGGCTTCATATCTGGAACTTGAACTGTGGGTTTACTTGTGCCCTGTGACTGCAGAGGCTCTAAAGGAGGCAAAATCTTAAAAAGCATCCCATGTTGATGGTACTACAATGGGAAATAGTATTACCTTAAAAGCTAGACATTAAGTCATTCAGTAAATTGTTGCTCACCTAGATATCTGAGTATGGTAACTGGATCTTTCAATGCTCATAGGCTCTCTACTCAGTACATGACCACTTACATGAAAATTTGGGAATGTTTATAGGAGGAGACATGGAGAGTCCAAGACTTCTTTCTCTGGACTCTTTGACAAGTTTGTTAATTGTCTGAAGTAGTATTTATTTTATCTAAAAATGGACATCTGAAATCTAGATGTTCCTCTGTAGTCTAATTCTTTATTTCAGTGGGATAGCAGGCAGTGTTTCCACAGTGCAGTCTGTAACTCTCTGAGGATGGAATTACTTGCCCTTGATGAAGTTCCCTTCCTTCCACTGAATATACAAGCAGTTCAGAGAAGAGCTAGGAAGAGAGAGCTGACTTTACAGTAGCTAAACTTAGTCAAGATACACCCAACACCAAAATAATAAATTCCTGACCTTTCTAAAGAGAGAGCAACTTCCATCTTGAAAGAAAAAAATGTGAGAGGAACAGCTATGGTAAGGAAGTGGAGATATCTGAATAAAACGTGTTCGATTTTGGTCACTTATTCATTGTTGGCAATGGTATGTAAATGAGAATTCAGTGTTACCTGTGAAACAGTCTCACAATAAAAACCCAAAACTCTTCACAAGATATTTTTCTGTTGTTAGGGAGGAAGGTTTAAAATTGAACATTGTACAAACTGTATACCGCAAGGAAGTTCCCCAGCCCATGTCTCTAGTCTAACCTAGTTAACTATTTAAGTTTATTTGGATTCCAGATGTCAACTTCAAAAGTTATGTTATTTAGATGAACAACATAAATTAATAATCAGTGCAGATCTGAGAATGTTTGAAGTTATTTTTGTCTTCAGTTGCAGTACCACTTGTCACTGATGCTGGCAGCTTTAGGACACGTGTGATTACTTCTCTGTGCAGATGGAAACCTAGTTGTTATCCTGTGTTTAAGTGTATGCATTCAGTCTTACTAGTACCTACAAAAGAACTCTTAACTTAGAGTTATGGATCTGCTTCTGCAGTTCTTTTGTGACCTGTTCCATCCCACCCGGAATCCAGTGGTTGTCTTATGCTCTGCAATTTCTGTGTGTTATCCTCTGCACCTCATCGTTCTGTTTACTTGCACTGATTTGCATTAGTAGGTAGGATAGCAAAGGATTTTAGTTGGTGATGCCCAGTACATATGGATACAGAAATATAGAGCAGTTGTTAAAATAAGACTGTTCCAGAAGTTTTCAGTAGAAGTGGGTGTTATTTTGGTTCATACGGTTAAATTACATAATAGGGTTGCAACACATGAGCAGTAACTATAGGACTCTAGGATACTCAGTAAGATCAGGGTGGAAGTAACCCTGGTATAAAGAGTTACAAAACTGAGCTCCTTAGTTGCCAAAGAGAGATGAGTTTGTACATTTCTCCCTCAGAAAATCCCACAGGCACTGAGTGTCTACTGGCACCCCATCAGCACCTCAGTACTTTCTTCAGCAGTTATTCCCTTTGTTACGCAGAGGAAACTGGTCAGTGATGAAGGCAGCTGCCTCCTGCTATGGCTTGCTAAAA